AATGGTGACATTTCTATTTTTGCCTTTCCTTTGGCCACGATGATCAGTTTTTACCATACAGTTGCATGTAATTTTTTACACTTTTGGACATCAACCTGCCAGGTTAGTTTGTGTCTGTATAAAAATGTAGTTAATGAAATCAAACCCTCTCAACTTAAAAATTACCTTGTACTAGTGGATATGCAAAACACCAAAGGATGTCTTGGAAAAAAATGTAAAATGATTATTAAGATAATATTATTAATTTTGTAGTCAACAATAACAGTTAGAAACTTGTGTTGAGGCAGGCAAAAACATTTTTCAGAGACCATAGACCTTCACTAACTTTGCTGTTAAAACAAGTAGTAAAAGGGTATTAAAATGTGAGATCACCTCCCTGGGCTTGCACTGAAAGAGAGTATGGGTAGTAGGACACATTGTTCATTTCCCCCACCCTTTTTATGCCAAGAGACCTGATTTTATAACCCTGATTCACTTCAGTTAGCATACAGAATTAAGTTAGCCTTTAAACTTAGAAAGATGGAAAAACTTGGGGAAAAAATTGGTGGTACCAAAAATGTAACTACAGACTGCTCTTCATCAACCTTCACAGCCCAAACAAACACCCTGTTCAAAACTCTAAAGGGCGAAATGATCACCACCCTAACTCAGCAGCACATACGCATCTAGGCCAAATAAGCCAAGGGTAGTATGTAGAAAGAACTGCTGAGGGGATTGGGCTCAAGGGACAATAACTTCTTTTGATGGTTGATAAAAAGTCAATTTTACCTTGTTTATTTTACTTGTAAATCAGATTCATAACTTACACAAACAATTGAAGTTGTACATTATTCAAGGTCCTTCTGATTCTCTTTATAAACTTTGCAAAACATTCAATTTTCTTTTTTCTGTTCCTTGTACTTCAGTCCTTTGAGGGATTTTCTCAATGTATACTGAGCATACCCCTCTCTGATGTACTCACTCTTATTAGCAACTGGATTAACCTCTTGTCCCCACACTCAGATTCAAGTATAATTCAAAACTATGGGGTAATTTTTGTACAAACACTTTCAAGGAAGTACTTTAAACCGAAGTCACTATCTAATATAAAACTACTAAATACGGTATTGCTGTTGGAGCTATTTATTGATTATCACTCAAACGATATTCCAGTGAAGGTTTTGAAGATTCAGTAAGCCCTTCCCTGCAGCCTTTTGATATTAAAAATAGCTTATACTGACAGACCCAGTATATGTGAAGCAAATTGATTGGAACATTTAACCTGGCTTTTACTAAATTAGCCCTGTATTCTGTATTTACGCCCACAAATATTTGTTGTGGCTCCCAGTGTACAAACAAACTTAAGAACAGCGAAGTACAAAATTGGTTTAATGAACATTCCTATATGACTGTTGCAAGACTCATACTATAATGAGCTCGTAGCATATGTTTAGGATAAGGCAGAGAGTTCTTAATACCACCGTAGGTGAAAAAATATATAAGAGATGGAGCAGGCTACCCTGAGGCTGGTCGCTCGAAAATAATAACTGAACTTGCCAAGGTGAAGAATCACGATGAGTGAAGTCACTCATGAACTGTTCATACATCACGCCTCCTGATGTCCAAAATTTCATGAAAAAAGTTCATGAAAACCTTTTCTTGATGTTTGGACGCCGTAAAACGTAAAACCGAGCAAAAACTCTTCATCTTTCCATGTCCGCATTCTCCGCCATATTTGTTTCGAAGGAATATTGGTACTCAGTCTCACTCTATGGAGGCCCGTTCTGGTCAAAATTAATATAATAAAATGGCATCACAAGTGACTTTTTCGGCCAGTGCAGCATTTATTATGGACCTCTTGAGTATTTTTGTCATCACTACACAGGATTTTTTTAGTGTGTTTTTATTTTTTTTTTAGCTGCATGAATTATTTTTTAATTAAGGCTGTTTACTTTTTTTATGTTGTTGTATGAATAAATTTTTCATGCGTACCACAAATAATTTTTTAATGGTACCGCGAATTATTTTTAATACAAGTATTGAGAATTATTTTTTCATCGTACTGATAATTATTTTTCGCTGTATCGCGAATTTATTTTTGGGCCTACAATGCTTTGCGGGCCTTGGAGTTGAAGTGGACTGGTTCGAGTCTTTGACTTCCTTGAGCGACCATTTTGAAAACTTTGCAAGTGGAGGAGTGTTTTCAAAGAGAGTGCCAAGGCGAAACATTGTGAGAGAACTGAAACGACAGAGGTTTTCATCTTTCTTACAAAATCTGTCAGGAGCTAGTAGTCTGTCGTTAGTGATGAGGTTTTCTGGACCGAAGATTTAATAGAGGAGACTACGAAGGGACTTCACGACTCGTACACAATTCTAACCCTTATTCAGAACATGACATGTCTGCCCGATTGAACTGTTCTTTACCCGGTCTTGTCCTCGAATCTTCGTCTCGCACTACACATGCTGGTTTTCGGAACGAAGACGCAGAGAATGAGAGTGTCCGCTACCCTGAAGTTCAGGAAGAAGCTCCCGATTCTAATCCAGACGGGCGAGCACCAGAAGCAGAGCCAGATGGACTCGAGGGAGAAGACCTATGCTGAGTGCTAGTTAGAGTAGACCTCACTAAATGGGAAATTCGATTGATTTATCTAATATTTATGTTATGGCATTATTGGCTATACATCTCAGGTATCTGACGTTGGACCGACTCATTCATCTCCGAATATTAAAACCATAATGTTAAAAATCAGGAATTACTATACTGCCATCGTAAAGGCACTCGAGCAAGTTCCCCATGTTAGTTAGTTAGTGAGGTCTACTCTCACTAGCACTCTGCGAAGGTCATATACCTCGAATCCATTTGGCTCTGCTAGTTCTTATGCCCCCCGGTCAGGATTTGAATCGGGAGATTTTTCCTGAAGTTCAGGGTAGAGGGCATTCTCTTTCACAGCAATGACAATGACAATGCTTTATTTATTTGGAGTCTTATACAGTCCTATGTACATTGACTTTATCCAAATAATTTAGAATCATAACACAAATTGCACACTAGTGGAACTATAATCAATGTTAACCTAAAGAACTAATGATCTTCTTTTCTCATAGCAGTCGAATACGTATTTTGCAATTAACTTTTGCACTGGTTTGTTCTTGCGCAGCATCTTCCTTCCCAAAAGCCAGCATGTGTGGTACGGGACGAAGACTCGAGGTCTAAGATTGGGTAGAGAACTGTTCAATTGGGGAGACATGTCATGTGCAATAAGCAGGGTGTCCAGCAGCATGGTTGCTCAAAAATATAGGCAAATAGGAGACTCAGCATTGAGAAAATAGGAAAAATAGGAAACTTTGTATTAAAAAATAGGAGAAAAATGGGAAAATCAATAGTACTTTTGTGGACAAAGGTAGCCTCCCTGCACCCCATCAGGGTTATAATAAATGCCACGAGTCCTCAGATTCTACGTTCGCAGGATTGAGATCAACTTTCGCGGCTAAGAAGGAGTAAAAATGATCAGTAATGTTTAGTTTATTGCCTCAGTTATGCTATAATCAGAATGATATGCTTGACTGCAGGTCAAGCGTGGTTCTATAATCAAAGGTGATCATGTGCAAATTCCCCTCAAGTTGGTGGCAAATCTTTGAAAAGCTTTGAAGAGTGAAATTTCTTAGTATAGGAATTTCTTACGATTGAGTTGTCATTGAACGATATCGAACTAGAACGTAAAAGTCCTATGGAAAGCTTTCCTTCCATTAATCTGCAATCGGTGGCTGGTTGAGAATATGCTTGTTTGAGTCAAAACACCGCATAATTTTAAGTACAAAACCGGGCTTTCTGCGGTGTATGCAAAATGACACTGATGTGTTTGGTACCAGATTGTAAGTTTGTCATGGTTAAGTTCTAAGAAGAACATAACACTGCTTAGCTATGACTGCAAGACCGGTTTTGTAACCAAAATATTGGATCCTTCATCAGTTGCTTAGGTATAGGTGTTAACAAGGGCTCACCAAGATAGCTAGCGCCGTACACTAAACTTTAGGCTGTTCTTTTCATGTAGCATCCAGAATCAGCTAGTGATCCTGTTTTCAGTTTTAAAGATGAACATAAAAGTGAGCAAGACTTCAAAATAAAATATAACATGTACAGATACTGAAATGCAGTTTCAGTGGGCTATACACAATATTATTCAATAGTCAGGAGGAGAACTATAACACTACATACAATACATGTACATGCAGGTTAACAAACATGTTAACAGAACTCTAACAGGCAATAGAGGTCATGGAAAGAACAAAAGTAACTGTTATTTTTACTAATATTAGAATATTAAAGTCAACATACTACTTGCTTTATGATAAATTTCACTCAAAAACACATACAATTATAATTTCATTTTCAATTTTGTTACAAATTTTGCCTTCACCGGCTAAAAAATAGGAAAAATATGAGGTTTTAGTTTAAAAATAGGGGAAAATAGGAATAGGCTCAAAAAATAGGAAAAAATAGGAACTGGACACCCTGAATAAGGGTTAGAATTGTGTACGAGTCGTGAAGTCCCTTCGTAGTCTCCTCTATTAAATCTTCGGTCCAGAAAACCTCATCACGAACGGCAAAGACTACTGGCTCCTGATAGATTTTGTAAGAAAGATGAAAACCTCTTTTGTTTCTTTCCCTGACAATGTTTCGCCTTGGCATTCTCTTTCAAAGCACTCCTCCACTTCAAAGTTTTCAAAATGGTTGCCCAAGGGAGTCAAAGACTCGAACCAGTCCACTTCAACTGCAAGGCCCGCAAAGCATTGTAGGCCCAAAAATAAATTCGCGATACAGCGAAAAATAATTATCAGCACGATGAAAAAATAATTCTCAATACTTGTATTAAAAATAATTCGCGGTACCACTAAAAAATTATTTGTGGTACGCATGAAAAGTTTATTCATACAACAACATAAAAAAAGTAAACAGCGTTAACAAAAAATAATTCATGCAGCTAAAAAAATCCTGTGTAGTGATGACAAAAATACACAACGGGTCCATAATAAATGCTGCATTGGCCGAAAAAGTCACTTGTGATGCCATTTTATTATATTAATTTTGACCAGAACTGGCCTCCATATCACTCGGCCAAATTTCTTAACTGGGGCGATCATGTAAACTCGGTTCCAGACCTCGCTGCCAGCCCCCCCTGCCCCGGGCTATCGGACACGACTTTCTTTGCACGCTGAATACTATATTTAAACCATAACGATATGACCGGATACCTCTGCGGTGTCCTATGGATCATCATATCAGAATTCCAGGAATTCGGGCACTTCATGAACAGTGGCTTATCGAGTGCAACCAAGACAACATAAAGGAAGGTCCTCAAAAGGGTTCCTCAATCTCGTAATCCCGATGGCTATTTTTGGCATTCCCGAATACCGAGCTTCAAATAAAGGAAATCCACGAGTATTGGGGTCCCTCATAAAGCCTTGGTGCAACACAATACCTCCAAAAACAACAACTCAAAATGAAATGGGTAAATTAACCGTTTTCTCCAAAAGAATTACACTGTGCCATGGAAGTTATGAAATACCTTGGAACAACAAATACGAACATTTTTAAAGCTGTAATTCTCTAGTTTTTATGCCTGATCTCAACTTTTCTTTTAAACAGCCATTTCTTGGACTATGTTCCTCGTGGCTACATCCCAATTCACCCCAAACTCAAGTCTTGAATAAAGCAGTGGTATTTTCTGTTCTTGAATTTTGATCCATCTTAGCGCTGCTGTGATGTTCCTGGAGTATGGTTCTCCTAGGCCATCAACCTTCAACTAAAATAAATGTTAGAATGAGAACAAGATAAGTGAGATTATTATTCATTGCAATATTTTGCCGTTTCTGTCTTACTCTAATCCCCCGGCTAATTATACATAACAGGCTGCTGTTGACCAAATTTTGAAGATGAATAATTGACGCCAAGAATTAATAAGTGCAGAAATAAAAAATATTGCGAAAGAGTTTCCGGCGATGCGAAGGCGAAATAGCAGAATTGGCCAGGTTCTGGAATTCGGAAGTGGCCTATTGACTATTTTCGAATCCCCCATAATACACTCTGTTGCCCCCCAAATTTTGCATAAGTTATTGTCTTCAAATGCTCTTGGGAAAATGCAGTACTCCCAGGAACATTTCAAAACAATGGTTTATACAAAATTAGGGGGGCAAACAGGGTTTATTATGGGGGATTCAACTATAGAGAATGAAATAGCAAGTGAGCTTTCGCGCGAAAACATGACATCTTCACACGCATCTTCTCACACGTGAAAAGAACATGTTATCTTCACATGTTCACAAGATCACCGTTGCTATGGCTACATAATAAATCGCGCCTTTCAAAGCAAAAAACTATTTGAGTGAAATGGTTTGGTATTTCATTGCTGTTTATACAGTAAATAAAACACTACATGGTCACTTGGAGATACGAAATTTCACTCGTTCGTTTTTCAACACTCGAAGAGAAATTTCGTATCTTCTTGGTGCCGTGTATTTCTTTTGAAAATAATGCTTTATGATACACTAAAATAAAAGTGGACACTTGAAAATACCTCACGCTTTTTGCCAAATGGAAGCGACAATGGTATATCGATCGAGAGTCGGAGTTTAATAAATGCCAATATGACCAAGGTTGACAGAAGCTGCAGTGCCAGTTCAAACACTTTTGGGCCTGTAAGATTTTTAAAGAGAGAAAAAACTGAAAAATGTAAATAAGAGAGCTACTTTTTTCACTATTTCAAGAACGGGAGTCACGTGACAAACATAGGATATGAAGTATGATGATATGATATGGCTGTACGCATGCGTAAGTTACTGGCCATACCGTGGAGTTTGGAAGTGTGTGCTTCCTCGCTGAAAAACCGCATGTAAGAAACTGCTTTAAAAACCTCTGGACAAACATTTTGCTAAATAAGTACCATATATACGAGAGATAATTAAGCCGGTTGCAGACACTTAATTGTAGGTTTTTAAGGTGTACAATAGAAGTAAATTGTTCCCGCGGTCGTTACAGTTTAAGGTATGAAGAGTGACAGTCCCGTGAAAAGAAGGAACGACACGAAGTGTTTTGAACGACAACGAACACACCCAGTAAGTCTGGAGGGCTACATTGGGTCGCTGAATATGACATACTGCTTTTCACTTTTTACTAGCGTTACTACGAAAAGGCGACCAGATTGATTAACGTATCAGTGCAAAACCGATCAAGGGGCAGCTTGTAAAAAGAATTCCCATCTAGCGCTATATACATGAGATTACTTATTCGCAAATGATGTTGTATTTGGACAATTCTCCATGCCAGGGCCCATGAGGGTCGACGCCAGGGGGAAGTCGTAAAGGATCCAGTAACTGCATTAGAATGCGCAGCCACCACGAAACCCTGTAAGAACTTGAACCGAGATTGAGAGTGGGGGGGGGAGTGTTGCAAGGTTTATAAAGGGGTCAGCGTGAACATGTTGCTTCCGCTGTTAATACCGACCATTTATTTTCATTCCACTCCATTGAACTTTTTCTCTGCTTTGCACCTTTTGTTTTTCCTACGCTCTAGAATCTAATTTCACAGAGACTGATGTGGCGTAAACAAAGCAGTGAATTTCAAGGACTTTTCGAGACGACTACTAAAACTCAAGACCTTTTCAAGATTGTACGAACCATACTAAAACGTTTCTTCACATCTACAACTCAGCGGACCATATCGTGTCCGCGAGTAACTACAAAAAAGTAGGCAACAAATGAAGGAGCCAACTCACCAAGAGATCTAGCACCTGCGTTTCCCAAAAAATTGATGAAGTTTCTCTTGCTGATGCCAATGACAGATAGATCATCCACATTCCAGAAACCATCCTGTAAAATATCGTTACAAACACTGCGTCTCAGTGTCTTATACTTATACTACGCCGGCGCGACCTTTGTCAGCCGCGAGAACCAAAATAGTGTTATCCTCCTTCAAGTTTTTGAGGGTTTTTTTCATGTCTTTAGTTATATTAGGCTTACGTAGCTTTACCTTCTGGCGAAGATTATAAACAGTTCTCTTAACTGAGTCGGATTGTCCTATGTCAAGTGGTCTTATAGTAGACTTGACTAGTGGCTGGGAAACTAGTTGACGTTATTGCGAAATTTAACCCTTTCTGCCGTAGCGAAACCTCAGTGTCGCTTAAGGACCTTGAGCATAAATTGATAATTGTCGATACAAGGTGTATCAGAAATGAGAAAGTTCGTCCAAGTTCGTCCGTTTGGTGGTACTGTCACAGAGCCTGGGTTACCTATGCCCAGCCCGGGAAAGGTTGGTCACACCACAAGGGTTTACGTCCCCTAGTCTTTTCAAACAGTGGCGTGGGTTCTTTTACGTCACACAAGAACCAGACAAGCGAAAGTGCTGTGAGACGGGACCTACAGTTGTTCGTCCTTATCCGAGAAGACTAGAAAGTTAGACTGTTTGCAGATGTCATTTTAAAGGCAGCACTTTCTTCTCAGTTATTTAAAGACCCTGAATGTTAGTCTGGCCGGGGTTTGAATTCGCGACCTCTCGCTCACAAGACCAGCGCTCTCCCAACTGAGCAGCTGTGAAATGTGAAAAATCGTACCCAGGCCACACGCGTCAACAAATTTAAGGGCTATCTTCACACTTGGTGCTTAGACACGTGACCTGAGATAGATAACTGCGAGGCAGTATGATGTGAATAAAACCATTTTTTTTAGTATATCCGCGTCTGACTTCGTAGACGCTACCACAAAGTTCGAATATACAGGTGCAAAAATATTCAATCAAAATCTGATATTGTCTGATGCATTAAGGTCGAAGATGAAATCTCAAAATTGTCTTCAACCACTTCTTGGCGCTCGTTTCAATCCCCAAACACCATTGTTTGCCGGTAGAACGGTCCAAGGAAGACTCGCGGCATAAAGACGTCTGCGTTATGATTTAAAGAAAGAAAAAATATCACAGTCCTTACCGGGTTTTGTTTGGCAAAGATTTTTTCCATGGTTTCATTTCTGTCACGTTGTGTCCGATTCGATACCGCTCCTCTTCTTCTTCCAAGCATTTTCCGTTCAAGTTCTTCCACATTTACTTTCTTGTTTGTTCTTTCCTCTTCAGTCATTATCTCCTGACGGTCTGAAAGGAAGTGGATAACACAGTCCTTGATCGATTTACCCTCGAATTTGCCTATGCTCAGGGGCACCCAGCGACTGTTTTCAGTAAAATATCTGTTCGGAGAAGCACATGTAGCCTAAAATTTTCTATTACTTGAAGATGGCTAAAAATTTCTAGATGTCGACCGTCCCATTCGTGTACAATTCTTGAGGCTTATCTAATAAATTCCCTACGATTTTCTAAAGTTTAATTTTTCACATTTCACTCTACAGGTTATTATATTTTTCGTAGAAAAAAGGCAACCTAAAATTTTCGGATTCAAAAATGTGATGGAGAAAGGAATCACTAAAATCCTTACTTTCGTAATACGTTAAATTGCATCTAAGATTTTCGGGAAAATAATACTGTAGCCCTTGTTATTTCGAAAAGACTCAAGTTCCCCTTGGATGACCGAACAGATACAAATTTTATAGAGCCGCTCAGAATGCTTAGTACTCTGGACAGTCTTAAAAGTGTTTTCAATGTATTTAGGAGGAAACCGTCGTTGGGTGCCCCTGTATGCTTCAGACAACTACATTGCACATGCTTCACTAAACTGGACCGGTGGGGGAGAGGGTTAGTATAATGAAAATGGAAAGTGAATTTAATATCCAGGCCAAGTATTTAACAAGAGATAACTGACCGACCAATATGCGGGGGGGGGACCGTTAAGATCTTACAATTAAATATCCAAAATTTACTAATCTAAATACGATAGATAAAACATTGTTTTACAAAAATTCTTTTAAGGATTTATTTATGACTGTTGTTGATAGTAATGCTCCAGTAGTCAATCGTCGTGTGCATGCGCGGGAGATCTTTACCGTGGATCACAGCTACTATAAAGGACTTGATGAAAAAGAACGATTATCATCCGTCACAAAAAAGCCATTAAAACTAACAAAAAACTTCACTGGGGCAGATGCAAAAGGTTGCGTAACGCTGTGTCGATGAAACTTCGTAAGGAAAAAGCCAGGTATTATTCAAATCAGCTATGTCAAAAAACAGGACTCGCGTAAATTGTGGAAAACTCTGAACGAGCTTTTACCAAACAAGAAGCAACACAAAACTGCGAATGCCCCAGCCTCCGAAACTTTAACGGCTACTAGCTTTAATGAGTTTTTCACGTCAGTTGCTGACAATCCATGTGGTCATTACAAAAGTAAGAACAGACTGCTTTTACTCCTAGAGTTGCGCAAAACTTTGCTCTTCAAAAGGTGTCAACTAACTTTGTTTTGAAGAGCTGTCTAAACTCAAGGTGACAGAAGCCTCAGGTCCTGATGGTATCACTGCGAGACTTTGGAAGGATGCAGCTCCAGTTACTCCAGTTATAGCTAAACCGATAACGTATCTGGTTAACCTTACTATTTCGACAGGACTTATTCCATCTGAGTGGAAGGATGCAAGAGTAACACCTATTTTCAAATCAGGAGCAAGGAGCGATGTGAATAATTACCGACCAATCTCAGTTCTTCTCCGGGTGCCAAAGATTATGAGTACGAAAAGAAATGTTACTTATCAGGCTAAGCCAAAGGCTAAGCCGGCAGTTTGGCTAAGCCGGTCCGTTTAAGAAAAAACTATGCCCTCACTCTGACAACGGCCTAAACTGAGAACTGATGTTCTTTCATACTTCATCAGTCACTAAAATGGTAATTCAGACCGGGGGGGGGATGACTCTATTGTTGGAGGGGGTTGGGGGTGACTCTATTGTTTTCCACCTTCGTTTCTTTACCCACTCCGCCTACCAGTGTGACGTCGCATAGTAACGGGCAAGAGCCTCGGGTCGCTTGCGCAAATTAGTAAGGGATACAACAGTTATTAGGACGAGCGAGGTCGAGGAAAGAAGCTAACAATATCGCTACTTATCGCAAGTGTGTGAACTTTGTTGTTGCTATAATCTGCTTGTGTAAACCGTTTTGATATTTTGTGTCCGTAATTGTATAATTTTTTAAATTTGTTTTGCGGGCCGTGTCGCGGGATCGCCATCTTATTGACGAGACCGGCAAGGTCCTCAAAACTTATATCCGTTTTTTCTCTAAATTAGGCAAGGCAAGGTCTAGTCTCCAGAATAGGAGGTTCCATTCAAAGATCACACATGTTTATATTTCATCTCTTCTTTCGCTAATTAAACCGACCTAACTTCATATCAATCCTTTCGAGTGTGGTCCTCTGTTGATTTCTTAATTCGCCACCAAATGGCCCGTTGAACCCGAAATAATTAACAATTATTCCTCGAGCCCGAATAGGCTCTGAGTCAATAGCTCATGAGGCCGAAGGCCGAATGAGTTATTGACTCAGAGGCCATGAGGGCGAGAGGAGTAAAATCCAACTAGTTGGTCAAGAATATCGAGACAAAACAACTTTAGCTAGCAAAATGCGATTCAGCCGCCATTGTTTTGGTTTTCAAAGTCGGCGCCTTTCGCTACGAGTGGGCTATAACATAAAGTCTAGTAGTAGCTCAACCAATCAGAACGCAGCATTGATAATAGATCGCTTGTTGGATTTTACTAACGCGAAATAGCCCAACAAATCAGCTCGGAAACTGACCTATATAATCCTCAGAGAAGGTTGAAATAATTGCGATAACTTTCAAGAACACAAATTCACATTTTCAGTGAAGTTTGTGCTGCCGTCGTCGTGAGTTCGTTAAGCCTCTTGACCCTCTAATAATACTTCACGTGGCCCCACGCTCGACGCGCTCTAGAGATGAGAATATGAAAGGAATAAAACCAGCCTTCTCACCTGGAGACCCCCCTCGGGCCACCCCTGCTGACTCGCGCCACTCACTGAGAAGCGTCGCTTCTGGAGAAGCGACAGACCCACATTCTCCAACCGTTTCAGAGACAGCTGAATCACAAGCACGATTGGTTACTCCTTCACTGACTGCAACAGGAATATCCGTCTGCATTGTCATCCCTCTGCAATCATTGCATTGATTGTTGTAAATACTTTTTGATTAGGAATAATTTTTCCAATAAAGTTAAGACTCTCATTCCAAGTATTACCCAGTTACCTGTAAGAGGGTCTCTGTGGGGTTAACCGCCAGCCGTCAAACAGCCTAAAAATCGGTCAGTATAAAACACGGACTGCGGACTGCGGACTGGGTATAAAATACGGACTAGGTATAAAACGCGGACTAGAAAATACGGACGGGGTATAAGACACGGACAAGGTATAAAACGCGGACTGCGGACTGCGGACTGGGTATAAAATACGGACTACGGACTTCTTTGGTAAAAACCGTGCAAATTGGTTCTAGGTAAGGAAAAATAAGATCAAAAGATCGCTAAATAACACGTGAGCTAAAGTTGTAAATACTCCTATAAATTCTTCGGTTCTCTGAATCATGAGCCGGATCAAAATGCTATTTTCTTCACCCATTTTTAGACCTTGTCTTCGTCTCTAACAATCATGAAAGGGGTCAGGATCAGGGATGGTACTCCCTTCTATAATGGAAGGGTAGGGGGTTTGGGCCTTTTTGGTCTGAAAACACTTTGCCCATTTTGGTGTGGAATCGGGTATGGTTTTCGAGGGAACTACGGGAGCGTACACGAATGGACGTATTTATCGTTTCAATTCCAAATGAATAAGAACGAAATTGAAATGTGCGAATTCGAAATGCATTTGCAGAATTTTTTTGTTTCCGCTCTAACTTGGTAATGATGACAAAATTTCTGCCTAATTAGACCTAACCTGTTCAAGGTTCTGAGATATTTGGGTCCGCTGAATTGAGAAAGCGAAAACACGAAAATAAAACGGGAGAAAACTGGGGAGTCTCCCCAACTATCTGAGAACCGGGAACAGGCTAAATTAGGCCAGGTCCGAAAGTGGGTATGGATTTTAGAGATCTAGTCTGAAAACGGGTGTGGAAAATAACAATTTTTTGGTCTGCTATAAGGTCAGGATTCGGAGAACCGGGCGCTACACCCTCACCAAGAATTCCCAGTAGTAACCCTTCCGGGGATCAGGAGCAGGGTGTAAATCATGTCATCATAATCATCGCTTATAACGTTGGATGACTCATTTCGGTTATTATTCACGTATGTGAGTAATCCCTCGCATCTAAATACTGCTTTTGTGCATCGCATTGACCTTCTCGTCTGAGTTCTTCATTCAGTCCTCATATTCCCAAGGCTTTATTTGAAACGGAATTGTGGCATCCGATAAGAATTTTACTGATCTGACTAACACCAATACTATTTTTTTTTAATTCGGTGCTTCTTACTGGTGTAAAACTGCAAATTGAAATCTCTTCAAACTCCTTCTTTTTATAAAATTCAGAGTTTAATTTCAGTTGCCTTGAGTACCGGCATAAACTTCCTTCTCCGTGGAAAGAATAGACTACGTGAACAGCGTTAAAGCTGGGACTACTGTTTTTGCTAGTCCGCTTTCTATTTCTCTCACTTTTACCTTCTAAAGCTGTTTTTATATACATAGTCCGTAGTCCGCGTTTTATACCTAGTCCGTGTTTTATACAAAACAAGCAAAAAAAACAAGCAAAAAACTACGCGGGCAAGAAAGAACGAAGTTTCGGAGTCATCTTGAGCATTTTCAAGTTCAAAATGCTTGCTGATAAACTGTCAAAAAAGCAAGCGAGCATTTTGAACTACAAAATGGCGTCAAGATCACCCCGAAACGTCGTTCTTTCTTGCCTGCGTTGTTTAATACTTGTTTGTGTATTACTGAACCTTTGCTTATTCAGCTGCTTATTAATTATTAATTTTAGTTATTATTCTTAAAACATAAATATAAATAGTTTCTGCATTACTGTAGGTACTTACTTGTACGATCGCGCAAATAAAGCTCGTTGTTGTTGTTGCGCTCTCATCAAAGCAGAATGTACGGTTGTTCTATGACCACCAAACGATGCTGCTCCACCTACAAACAGAGGTGTTAACAAGTGAATTGATTTATAAACAGTTCACTCCCGACATACACCTAATCGCAATAAAGTTGTCTTAGAAAAACGAAAAAAGGAAAAAGCCAAATGGGAATTAATTGGGGTAATAAGCCCAACAAATTCATATGCAGCATCCCCACAAGGACGTCATATTTGCCTGTTGGAATTTGCTCTTGTTTTAAAGCTGAAAAACAATTTAGAAAATTCCAGACTGAGGGAAAATGCATTAGCTGCAAATGAATCCAGCCTGAGAATGTGGCTTAATTAACCTAATTAATTCCTATTTGGCTTTTTTCTTTTTTTCATTTTCCTACGACAACGTTATTGCAACTATTAGGTGTCGTCGCCAAACCCTCGCTAACTCGAATCAAAGTCGATTTCATCTGGATTTCCTTTATACATTTACAGAAATCTTACCCTCGGTATTAAACTCGAAGTAATTTTTGTTTCCCTTCACATCCTTTCCTTTGATCCTTTCTATATACCTAATACCCCCGATAAGAAGCACGAGACAAGTCGACAAACAAAACAACAGTATACTGAAGTCCAAAACCGCACTGAATTTATTTCAAAACAACCTTGTCAGTTCTTTGTCTTTACTTTTTGTCACTCCAGTTTGAATTCAGTGTCTATCCCTGAATACTAATCAAGCTTTGGTGCTTTTTAGAAAATTCCTTTTTCAAAATATCAATCTATATCTCTTGCTGCCCTTGAAGTGAAGTGTGCATGATACCTGCATTCCGTCCCCATACATTTGCTTATTTCGGCACATTTAACAATATTATTACTTCGGCGGAGCGCGAAGTAAAGGATTCGCGACGCTCAGGAATGTATCAAAGTTGCAATTTTTTGACAAGATTGGGCAAGCAAAGTCTGTAGGTTTTCGGCTCTATTCGGCTATTTGACGAAGTGAGAGCCGAATTAGTTCGAGATATCTCGTGATCACTTCGATTTCTTTGATTTATTCTTTAACTTTTTCGAGGAAGAAAGAATTATTATTTTGGCTTTCCCGGGGTTTGAACCGACTCACCTGTGTGACCCGTCAGATCAGAGGAGATTCTAAGTTGAAGGATTAGCCGATTGCGCTACTGCGACCCAAGGTAGTTTGGGATAGGAAAAATAGTTATGAAATGATGCACTAGTTTCGGGACAAGATTGGGCGTGCAAGTTCGTGACTTTTCGGCTGGTTTCAACTATTTCACGAAATGAGATCGGACTACTTCGTGATATCTTGAGATCACTTCGAGTTTAGTCTTTAATTACTCGAGGAATAAATAGAGGATATTTCGTGGCCGCGCAGAGACACGAAATTTCTCTTCGAGTGTTGAAAAACATTTCACGAGTGAGCCCTCCTTTCGAACTGTTTTATGATGAATTTAAAGTTACAAAATGCTGCACAAAGACATTTTGTCTTTGTTGAGTGTTACGTAGTAAAATTGCTTTCATGCGTTGCGTGACTTTTGGATTAGTCATGAATAATTAATTAGGCCATGTTTACATTTCAGCATGAGTCAGCAGATTTGCATCAGTTACTGAAATCATAAAATATGTCGAAAAGCTACTACTATTCGCCTGTTTAGTATTTTCTAGAACCTTATGTCAAACGGTATACAGGTTCCAAGCGAGTTCTTTTGACGAACTAAGTTTTTTCCCACGAGCTGGACTGCTGTGTTTAGTCAAGTGTGACGAAGGTCGATTATTCGGGTTCTATGTGTTTACAAGTTCCCGGAAGCCGTAAGATATCTGAAGTTCAAGTGAGAGTTTGTTATTATTGGTAGAGTCTGTTTAGTTTTACTCAAAGTTCAAGTCAAGTTTGTGTTGGTAGATGCTGTGTTTTAAAGCTCTGTAAAGGCTATGTTCCTTTGGTGTTAAACTTCCTTGTGTTAATCCGACATCCCTGCGTGCTGATAGTCAGTGAATAATTATCCTCAAAACATTCGAACCCGTGACTTTGAGTTTTAGCCAATTCCATGCTCAACGTAATTGACTCCTTACCCATGCCTTACATATCTTTAATCAGTACATGAGACTGCTATGCTGTTTTTGACGCCTGATGTGACTAAGAAAAATAGAGAATTGTTTTTTAGAAGGATTTGTATGGAGTCCTCAGAGCATAACTGGCCTAATATCGCGGAGACAATTTGTCCTGAAATGCTAGTTTTTGGCAAGTAGGCCTCTTGGATGTTGCTCTTTTCAGAATATCCTGACAAATCCCATAATTTCACATCTTACTCTTACCATATTTGATTTCTTACTATTCCTCCACATTTACAATTAATTAGTTCCACAACCACGACGCCGAAGTGTACGCTAGCTCCGTAGCGTCTTGTTATTGAATGAGACCGAGTATCATCTAAAGAATTATCGAGATCGAGGGTTTAGGAGATAAAGGGTTCTTCAGCTCCGCAAATATTATCCAAATAGCAGATGTCGTCAGTCGAGCTGCCTTCTGGCTGTTCTTGCTATGTTTTTAGCAAAAACTTCGCCTATTTGTTTACTCACTACCAAAACAACTCAACCTCTTCCCAAGGTGTTCTCGGTTAACGCTTCAATAATCTGGCAATTTGCTGCACGATTGACGTCATTTTCACATATCGCAAATTTCTTCCAAAATTGGTCGACAATAGCTGGTTATGATGGATTATGCAGGTGACTTTAGCTAATCAGTAACGGAGAAATACTTTCAATGAATAATAATTAATTTTGCTCCCGACAAATCGAACTTCCTTCGATTTCCCTTGAAGTTCGAGTTATCGGGGATCGGGAGTCGACTGTAATTGCTTCAAACTGAATCCAGTTCGCTCTAACATTTTTCTCCCTTACCACTACACTTCACGACTACCTGCCAAAATCCGACAAATTTAGGTACATACACAAGCAAACTGTCTTTGTTAACTGTTACATTAATAACAGATGACCTCGTATCTCAATGTTCTCCTCGGCTACGCCGCCTCTCATTGAGATTGAGATTCCCGGGAAACAAAATTAACAGTTTCCCTCGCTACCAGTCGGCGGTCAGTTGTGAGTAAACGGAACGGTTCAATGATGCTTATGAGCCCCGAAAGGCGGGGGGTGGGGGGCTGTGGAGGGGTACTCAAAAACGTTTTATATGGGGTAGCTCCACCCCGAGGTCCAACCCCTTACCATTTTATATACCATTTTGGACAGAAAAGGTACCTATTTAGTATACCTTGTATTGAAAAATGGTTCCCCTTTCACGTACTTAGATTAGAACTCTGCAGCCTTTTCAAAACTGCTGTAAATGCAGTCTTTTAATATGAGTACATAAAAAAAAACTATAACGTTGTCTCGACTTTTCCACAGCCATAAAATGCATTTGTTAGCCCTTATAGGGCCTAAACTTTCATATACTTCAACAAGTGAAATCCCTACCCTTTCATATAACTGAAGCCTGAGAAAGGTACCTCTTTCGGGGGGAGCCTCCCCTCACCACCCCAAGCTGATGAGTTCTGACATGAATTGGTGGTATGGCCGTTGCATATATACAAGCTCAAAGCCATACGGGATATCAGATCTTGAGATGAATTATTTGGATGAAATTTATGTACCAGTTGACGGAGTCCAAATTTGACTTCGCCTTCTCTTTTCTTAAGGGTCGCTACAGGAAAAAAACATTTTCTCGGCAATATGGGCCTGTCTGTAGTGAGACACGGGTCTCCTCTCCTAGATTCATCACTGCAATACTCGACCTGGGTTCACATGCGACGGTTACAATAAAAACGACGACTCAGAGAAAGAATTATACAGTGGAAATTCTCGTAAGCGGACACCCTCGGGACGCGAAAAAGGTCTCAGTAGCTGCAGGGGCTGGCCGCTTACGGGAATGTAAAAATACAGAGTTTATATGGGAGTTGGGAAAATGAACGGGGTTTTGTGAAGGCAGCCGTAAGTAAAGTTGTCTGCTCATGACAGTGTCCGTTAGTAGAGGTTCCATTGTAATAGGCTGTTATAAAAACCACGGGAGGTTGAAAGAAGGGTTAAAGCAGTTTTCTCACCTGAAGACTTGATACTGCTGAGTAGTTGCTGTCGTCTCGAAGGGGCAGACGCTGATACCCTGGAGGAGAAGGGTGGAGTGGGAACAGAAATGCCCGCGGGAGGACGTAGTGGAGGGCGGAGTGAAGAGCTTCTTTTTTCAACACCACCAACGATCAATGGGGGGAAAGGAGGAGCGGGTGGTACAGTGGTCACAGGATCTACTGAGCAAGGAGGAGAAGGAGGAGGAGGAGGAGGAGGGGGAGGATGGTGTGAAGGGGGTACAGAACTTTTCGATCCAGAGGGAAGAGAGGATGGTGCTTTTGACGTGGGGAGGTTAAAGGTCGACCTCAGAAAAGGGTAAGCTGGAACCGCTTGATCTTGTCTAATGGGCATGGGGGGCTCTGTCTCATCAGATAGTTGTGTTAATTCTTCTTCGATAATCACTGCCCTTTTCTTTTTCTTCTTCTTGGACATAGCGATAGGGAAATCGATATCCGCTAGTGATCCATCGCTCTCTTCAAGGCTGCCAGTCCTTTCTTCAATTATTTCAGCTTTTTCACCACCATCTTTTACTACTGTCACTGCCTGAACGGCTGGTATAGGGACACCGAACAAACTTCCTCCACCTGATGTCACAGAGGGTACAGAGCCAAATGATTGCTGACCAGAAGAAAAAGAAGGGGCAGTTAACTCTGACTGACCGGCTAACAGACGAGGTTCACGGTTTCCAAACAATCCTCCTCCGACAATCGAAGGTGCTGACTGTGATGATCCAAAGAGTCCTGTAGCAGGGATACCAGATTTTTCCTTTTCATGTGCTGACTGGCCAAACCCTACAATTTCCCCACTAGACGGTGAGCCAAACGATAAATTTTGGCGGTCTGGCGCTGATCCAAAGAGTTCTGTAGCAGAGAAACCAGGCTTTTTCTTTTCATGCACTGACTGGCCAAACCCTACAATTTGCCCGGTAGAGGGTGAGCCAAACGAAAAACCTTGGCGGTCTGGCGCTGATCCAAAGAGTCCTGTAGGAGGGAAGCCAGCCTTTTTCTTTTCACGTACTAACAGGCCAAACCCTCCAACTTCCCCAGTAGAGGATGAGCCAAAGCAAACGCCTCGGCGGTCTGGGTCCACGGAGTTCAAAGTAAATCCAGACAAGGATGATTCGACTTGGGGTGGCCTTATTTCTCTTTCAGGTTCGACAGTAGCTGACACTGCTTCTGATGTGTGAAGACCACCTCCAACGATCTCGCCTCCTGGGGGTGCATAGGCAAGAGGTGGTGCAGTGGTTACACTTGCGCCAGGAGGAGGAGGTGGAAAGGGAGGGGAAGGTGGTGGTTTTTGCAATTGTTGGGTTGATTGGTCAAAAGAAAAATCCTGTAATGCAGGTTTTCGCGCAGGTCTTCCTCTACGGGTAGAGCCCAATCTAACTGCTATACGGCCAATCCGAGGTTCGGGAACACATTCTGCAGATTCCAACAAGTCAGAAGCGTCCCCGGTTGATACTTCTGTCAAGAGAAAAGATAACACAAATCTTGTGTAATACTGAAACGTTATATCTTCAAGATGCCCTAGAACACTTACATTAGAAAAAGAACACTCACATTAGAAAATTGTGGATTATTTTTGATCGTAGACATTTTGGCTGGCATTCAGCAAGGCTCATTCAATTTTGAAAACATTAAAAAAAAAATGTAGAAACAACCGAACGAGAGCGTGTTCAATTAGATTTACCGTTTCTATAATCGACTCTCCGTTGTTCTTCTTTGAGTTCCTTAATAATGTTAGGGAATAGTACGCGTGCTATCAGCCGCTTATTCTATGAGGTCTATGAGGTCATTAGGTAACATTCTCTTTACATAATATAAATACATGATAATGATATTGCTAAAAAGAGAAATCGAAAATGAGAAAGTGAAGCAACAGACCCTTTCTTGGTTTTTTTACCTTTTGACATGCACCAGTTAGGAAAAATCCGTAGCACCAATGGAAGAAATTAAAATTAAAAATTAAAAATAGTAAAATTGCCAAAATTGGAAGTGATACGTCTTAAGGGAGCGATGATAAAGCTCTGCAAAGTTGCAAAAAGTTACAGACGTTTGTATGGTGAGAGTGGGGGGGGGGCAAGATTGTACCCTCACCCTTTCCAACATGTGTAAAGTTTTGCGAAGATGTCGCTCCGACTTTGAGATGCTACGTCTTTTAGTTTTCAACAAATCCCTTTCAAACTTGGCAATGTTAATAATTTTGAGGCCTTCTTTCCAGTGGTGTCTAGAGATTTTCCCTAACTTGTCCAAGTCAAAAATTAAAAAAAAACATGCAAAGGTCTATTTGAAAACAAGGCAAGGCCTACTTGAGCTGAATGGAATTTTGAGGTAATTTGCCATTGACAACAAAACCCTACTCTGTATAAAAATATCTCATTCACCTTTTTTTCAGTTTGCTATCTCTTATTACTCTAAATATCACTTTCTCTATCAAATTATTGAACAAATACGACTTTTGCCAAAATTATCGGAACACTTACTAGTTGGCCTGAGAAAACAGCCGCCAACTGGCGACGCCATCACTGGTTTTGGTGGGGTCGCTAGTACTTACGACTAACGTAACCCTAACTTTTGAATCCCACACTCTTCCTTCTGCCTCAATGCATACTCTTGGAAGCGCAGTGAGCGAGACTGATTTGTCGAAAGATGATAAGAATTCAAATTAAGCCCCCTTTTCCTGAAATTTCAGTCTTTAAAGGGATAAAGGGACAGGTTCACGGTTCAGCGCATGCTCATTTATCAAAATGCTTTTCTGCCGGGACATGCTGTCTCGTCTGTGCAAGCAATATGATCATGTCATAATGTTGTCAAAGAACCAATCAGCACAATCCCCTGGCAGTTACTTGCACATCATCAACTTAAATATTTGTAAATAGCTGTAAATTTAATCAACCATGGAATAAAACCTTCGGGTCAACAATAAATTCAACGTTGGTAGTGTTGGCTTAATCCACTAATTTTTTCTGCGATTTTAGTACTCCTCCATCTTACTTCAGGTTACTCTGAAATACAATTCGCATGTGTAATCAAATGGTGACGAGTGAAATTAGGGAATAATTTCACGCGCGTTTTGTCCAAATCCTAATAATTTCCCTCACTTAAAGGCTCGGGAAATTATTAGGATTTGGACAAAACACAAGCGAAATTATTCCCTAATTTCACGAGTATACCATTTGATTACCTATTAATATTATGGGTGACGAATTACGTTAGCAATCTTGGATTTTGGACATGTGTATCCTGGATCGTATCGATCGAGAACTCCACTCTCTCAAATGTTTAGACCTTAAATTTGGCTTATAAAGTTCAGAACTTTTCAGACTTTTTCGGCAAAATACCTGTTAGAATCCTTCTTGATATTCTCTTGTGTGTTCAGGTTTTCTAAAGCGTCTTTTTGTGCCCTGACATCTTCATTCACGGCATTTTAAAACTTCGTCGCCATCTTGACACTGAGACGTACCGGAGGGTTGCCATGGCAATTTTGTAATTTCACATGTGAAATTACAAATTAACGCTGAAATTTCGCGCCAAAATTAAGGAGTAATTTGTCACCTATGATATTATACTTTGAAACACACTCTGAGATCGCAGAGATACTTGTGAGTGGGATTATTAACCGATAGAATTAATAAGAAATTGAAAAAAATTTAATTTAATTAATGAGCATGCGCTTAACCGTGAACTTGTCCCTTTAATCGATTAGGGAAATTGATGCTGATTATCAAAGATATCAAAATTTCACAATTTCGTCCACCGGCTGAAGTAGGAGGGAGTGGGTGTGGGGGAGGGATTTCTACACATTAACACTGACAGATTTAACAATACCTTTGCTTCTCGATCGCTTCAGTTCTTTTTTGGATAGCGAGAGCGTAGTCTCTTCAATCTGCAAAGAAGGTGAGGTAGGATTGTACTTTGGTGATTCTTCACTTTGTAGTGCCTTATTTGAGACTTTTCCTGCGAATTTCTTAAACGCTCCATAAACACCAAAGCCAACATCATCCTCGCTTTCCTCTTCTTCGTCATCCACAAAAGCTGTAAAAGTAAGATGTAATGTCATTTCCTGGTCTATTTTGTTCAAGTTATTAAAATGTTCGTAATTTCTAGAGTGTAACAACGATACAATGCAGTGAACATAAAAAGATCGAGGATTTGAGTTATTTTCTTTAGATTTGCTAATTAATCGCGACAGAACTATATCTTGACACACAGCTTCACTATATAAAAGTGTCTCCTCAACGTTATCATGGATTTTTCACAAGAAACGCTATAATTTGTTGTGGTACAGTTTAAAACGCTGTAAACTGTGGTTCTCAGTTTCGAATCTGTGCGTGAAATCACACGCTGTGACCATTCAAATGAAAGCTATCAGCGGTTATTTTCTGTGGCTGTTAGCTGTGCAAGGTTTTTCTAGCCAGTAACAGGCTCTTGGTCAGTGCAGAAGAGCAAAAAAACCAAGCGAGCAGTAAAATAGCGAACGAGCGACAAACGGCGGAAAGAGAGAAGACTCCGTCTTTTCCCAGCTCCCACGCGGTTTTCGCGCAACTTTTCGTTCCGCTTTCCCGACCATTTTGGACACCGGAACACACTTAAGTTTTTCTACTTAAGGTTCTGCGGGTGAGAATTTATCCTGAAGTGTGCAGACCATTCAAATGAAAGCTTCTGAGCAGTAAGATTTTTTTTACGGTCTACTAAACTCTGACTTAGGGTCTGTGGGTGTGACCAGCTCCTTAACTATGCTTCTTTCTCCATCCGTTTTCTTATTTACTGCCCTTTTCCTGCCTATCAGTCTTCATTGGAATAATGAAGGATAAACTGCTGTTGGCGATATCATGATGAGTCAGAGGCACCCAATGGATCTTTTCCTCAAAATATCTGTTCTACAGGCAAAATTTGTGCTGGCTATGAGATTTGGAAAACTTAATATGTCTTTGGAAGAAAAGTGTGGCTGGGAAATGGACAATTTAGGGTGTCCGAGGGGATTTGATGTCCAAGAGTAGCTGCTATGTGCCATTTGTATAATCCTTGCTCCCCCTCCACTGAAGGGCTCAATTTTGCCCTTTGACCACACCCAAACTGGGGCTAGTAACGTCTGGATATACTTCTGATTAGAAACTTCCCAGTAAGTAGGGTTGCAGCCGGTTGTAGGTGCACCTTGCTGGCTGGAAACTCTTCCACTAGTCTTGCTGGGAATGAGTAACAGATACATTTTTCCCAGCAATCTCCCAAAATGCTTAAAATTGCTTCAGAAAGCTTTATTTATGCCTTGTTGTTGTTTTTAGGTCTTTTTCTCAAAATTTCCCTTTGGGTGCCCCTGATGAGTGATGAACGCTTACTGTGACCTGACCCAGTGCTTTGATTCCGAGACATTTTCGCTCGAACATTGTATTTTGTTCGTAACTGAATGACGATACTACTTTTTAGTGAAAATGGAGTCACAAAACATTTGGGTGGTAAACGAGATCCAAACCAGTAAATATTTACGCGTATGAATAAAAGACGAGACAAAAATGGACTGAAAGGTTAAACTTACAGCACGCCGCTGATTTTGAAATTGCCATCGACATCTCCTGCTCTCCCGCCTCACTGGGGGCCGAGTCCGAGTCTCCACGGTGGGTTAAGGTCGTTAAACACTTCCTCTCGCTTCGCTTTTCCCTTCTCCCTGTATCGACTTCTTCAATTGAAGAGTCTTCAATTTGCTGTAAATCTTCTTCTTCTTCTCCATCTACTTCATCACTACCACTTGGGCTACTGCCACTGGTGGTGGATCTCTTTTCCTGGTCATCCTGTTGCATCAACAGTGCCTTGGGAAGTTCATCCTGTTCACTCCATTCATCACTCGACCAATCGTCGTCTTCGCTGTCTTCGAAGTCTTCGTCTTCGCTGTTAACAAAAAGGTAAAGTAAGACTGGGAAGTTGTAAGAAAACCTTATATAATGTCACTTTGTTAACAAGTATCATCACACCAGTGCCTTTAATACGTTTATGTCTGCTTTATAACAACAATTTCTGTTGTACTCGAACATTAAGCTGCATTAAGCGGACACTTGGCCGTTCTCTAAGACAGACTGCTTAACACACGTTTGAATGCACACAGTATATATATTCACTAACAGTATGGAAGAGTAGAAATTTTTCAAAGGTGTCCTACTAATGTAAATTTCGAAGACAAAAAACACTGACCTGTGATCGTCGAGGTCATTGTCAGTAATAATAACTTGAAGCGCTTTCTCCTTGTCACCAAAAACAGACTGGTATAAATTGGACAAGGCATAGGCTGTCTGAAATACGAACACAACTTGTGAATAACTTTTAAATTTTTTCTTACTTTCTATGAAAGAAAAAAATATAAATAACATGTAAATATTATACTGCTAAAAGTCCTTTAAATTGCCTTAGGAGATAATAATTTTTTAGAAAACTGGCTAAATGAGCTAAGTACAAAACATCAAGCTAATTTAGTCATTCTTATAACACGTTCTCTGTAGTCTCAACATTGGATTGACTATAGTAGGGCTGTATTTTCATTAGAGTTACTTTGATGGGATGACACATTTTTGGGATTTGGGGGATCAGAAAACCCAGGTAGGTTGGGATTTAAAAATGGGAAGATTTTTACTTCATTAAAGTTATCCAAAGTGTCAGTTCATTACAGGATGATCTAGTTGAAAGGCCTTATAAGTTAGAGGCATAAAAACAAAGGTTCTAAGTTGGGATCGGCAAAATTACATTTTCCCAAAAGTGACTAAGATGGGGTCTATTTCTGGCAACAGGATAGGCTATAAAGGGGTACGGGTTCTGACAGGCCAGCGACACATGCCCAGTAAAAATTAACCCAAGTATCCCCCCAAACCTCCCCCCCCTGGGCTTCTATAAAAAGCAGGTCCCAGTTGTGGCAGTTTTAAAGTGCTGACTCCCAAAGCAGGTGGCTAAAAGGTTATGATAATTTCTTGAACCGAACAAAAGAAAGAGAGAGAGATAAACGCAAGAGTTACCTTGGTTGTCAAAGGATGATCAGGACCAAGCTTATCGCGAGCCTCTTTCATGACGTCATTATACAGGCGCTCGCATTGCAGCACTGCGCATGTCTCCAACACCTCAGCCGCTTGCAGTTGCTTTTCTAGTTTCTCCTCGATACACTGGGTAAAGGCCAGATTAGGTGAATATTTTAGCAAAAGTACAACTTACTCTCAAAAAAGGGGCGGGGGACGAAGGAAAAGTCATTCGCCTTTTTTGCGGTGAGTTCAGCACTGTGCTTCAACGAAAAGGGTTTTCGGTTGTTTAGGAAAACACATAAGAAACTGAGGTGGTACTAGTTACAACAAAATGATGTGGGGTGGGGGTGGGGGGAGGTTGAGCAAAAGTCAGTCCCCTTTTTTGTGGTAAGTCTGCAGGTACTTAAACAGAGAGGGTTTTCCATTTTTTTCTCGAAAATAACCAAAAAATTGAGGTAGTTCTAGTATACTTGTTACTACAAAGTACATTGGTTTCAACAACTAAACCACCGACTGAGATGTTCAAAGCTCAGTTGACATCTCTAGCGAATCTTGAGAAACCTGCAAACAAGCACAATAGCGTAAAGGTAATTCTGGATTTGCGTTAATCTTCCTTTGAAGAGTTCACCCGATAAAAAAACTCCATAAAAAGATGTCTGCAAATTTTGGATTGAGAAAGTAGAAATGAACTGAAAAGTAAAAAAGAAACAGCTATGACTTTCTGCTTACTGGTTCGCGTCTTCTGTCGGTATCAACTGGTTTCTGTTCCCAGCCAATGTACTGCAGTATGTCTATTTCCTCTGCTGCAACCAGCTCTTCAATGCTGGGGCCTTGTCCTTCTTCAAATTTCTCGTCCTGAACGATAACAAAAAGTTACATATTGTAAATATGATTTATGTGGTTCTTTAGCATTCTTGAACAAATGAACAATTTATTTACAAAACTTTTACAAACGGCGTGGGTCGTAGAACAGAGCTTGGTTCCAATTTCAGAAACTTGGCACATTGTTTTGAAGAAAGGAAAGGGCGATACGTTTTCGAAACAAAGGTCGAGTATTACCTTTTCCCTATGTTCAACGGCTACGAAACTTGTAAACTTTGACACCACCGAGAATTCCTTGCTTATGGAAATGATGTAATCTTTCCTGTTTCTCTTAACAACCTGTTAAAATAAAAGAAACAGGCAGGCAAAACTTGATTATGGCAAAGAGGTTTTAAGCTAACAATGAAAATAATCTCAATTTACGATGCCATTGGTTCCATTGACGGTCCCGTCCATCATCACTGACCTCGTGTCCAGTGCGCTGCTCGTGCAGGCTCCCTTCGTCCCAGTCTCTTATGAGTGCTCTCGCGGTAAGTTGATGAAGAATCTGTTGAAAGGTTGCAAATCAGACTATTCGTACCATTTATTGACGAAATATTACAAGCAGGTTATTAGGGTTGGTGCAGTTGGTTGGTGGTTTACAGCCATCACTCTCTATACATGGTATATTACTGATTGTAATTGATAATCAGTAACACTGGTAAATTTTGAAATAGTAAATTAAGTAGTTTTACATGCATGTTACACCCGAAGAACCTAGTTAAGGTATACCAAATATTGGTGAATTGCAGACAATTATTTCAGTTGTTTGTTTAATTTATTTTTGTTATTAAATATATTCTGTATATAATATTTGAATTGGTCAGTCTTTATAGATCAAGTGCGTCCGTGTGTGCAAATTTCGGGTGCTCCCCTCACACTCAGTCTGTGACAAAAGCGTGGTTTCGTGCCTCAGTCCCGAAGTATATATGCGGGTTAGGTTTGTTGTGGTTCCCGGCTTTGCCGTGACGGCTTTTACTTCAGCTTTTTCGGCTTTCCCTTCTCCGCAGAAAACAAAATTTTCAATTTCCAACTCTATCAAGGAATTAAAGGGTTCCAGGTCGTTTAACCAATGAACACCATTGTTCTAAAGGAAAAGTCGATTATGTTGCTATGTAGCCGTACTTACTTTGCCTGTTGTAATATTCAGATCAGAAGTATACACCATTGTTGACACAGTCTTCCCATTAACTTCTGCACTCAATGTCGCCTAGACGATCGAGAGAAAAGGGACTTTAAAGCAATTACAAGATCGAGAACGCTTTTTTGTTAACACAATTTAATCATCACCCCATCAACCATAAACTGCTGTCGATCACCATATTACACTGTCTCACCCTTGGAATATTATTTACCATGTGCCATTACGTAATACGAAACCGATTTTCAAGGAAAAGTTTAGTAAGTAATCTCACTCACAAGGCAGCAACCCACAATACCATTTTTGTTGCTTCAAAAGACTGTATTTTAAATCTTTTTACAGCCCCCGTCCAGAAATACTAATCCTCACCTAAACACACCTTCATGGGATAGTGGTATATTTTCTTAGTTCAGTCACAAACACCACACAAGACATCGTGTTACTGAAAATAGTATCAAATTCATCGAATAATGATTCGTCAAAGTATCTGATTAAGAAGGTGATAATCACACAATTTATTCTGTTGATCTCCGTTTCAGTTTAGCCATAGGGAACCCACGCTCTTACGTGTAAACTACAAATGGTAATTAAATAAGAGATAAAATCTTACCTGTTTTGCTTCATTCTTGAATCTGCTGTGGTGCGAAGTGAAATGGAAGTTGTTTTACGATGAGAAAACTACGTTCAAGACGACGCTTTAACCGTAAATTAATAACCAACAATGAAACGCGAGACGAAAATGACAACCGGTGCGTGACCACATAAAGCATCGTGAAATCAACAACGGTTAACGACTTGAACATATAGTTTTCGTATCGTAAAACAACTTCCATTTCACTTCGCACCACAGCAGATTCAAGAATGAAACAAAACAGGTAAGATTTTATCTCTTATTTTATTTCCATTTGCAGTTTACAAATAGGAGCGTGGGTGCCCTGTGGTTAAGCGACCCCCGAGGTAGCCTGCGTCGCAGATGTAATCTTACCCCGACTAGCAACGTCTAGTAACGTTTGAGAAGCAGCAGCGCCAAGATCCTTGTTCTGGGCGCCAAACGGACTCAACGAATTACCGGAGGTGCGTTTCAAATCTCCCTTCAACCTCATTGGCAAATCGACAACGGCGCCTACTCAAATCCAGGCACACAGGTGGGGCCCAGAACATGGATTTTGGCGCTGTTTCGTACGAGGGACTTAACAAAAAGTTTAGTTCCGTCTGTGGTGAAGGCAACCCTCGAGGATAACTCACGAACATTTTTTTCGTTTTTAATCAGGCGGATAATTCTTCTTTTCTTGAGGCCATTTAACTTCTTTAACCATAACCGAAAACCAAGAACTTTGTAACTAACCAAGAACGTTATTTTCATGATAGTGACAAGCCGTTAAACCAACTTACCTGTGTGCAATTGTCGACAAAACCATAAACTACTTGTCTGGAGCCATTGAATAAGGAGAGGATCTGGTGCGGAGCCTGAACAGGAGGACTGGAACCGGAATCGTGCTGTTGCCAGGAAACTGCTACTGACGTAAGGCCTGGTTGCTCAGCTTTGGATAATTGCGATTTTACCTAAATTTGAATTGACATTCGAGATTTAGATACATAACAGATCATTTTTATATCTATTACGTAGAGACGTTGGTACTGAGAGCAATTCGTAGTAACGTGAGTTTTGCGAATTTAAACTTTGACGTTGATTAAATAGAGAAACAAACAAACAGAATAACTTGTTAAACAGAACAGCGAAAGAACAGCTGACTAAAAAGTCAAAAGAACGAAGGTTTGCTAATTATGCAAACAAGGTCGGGCGCCAAGAACCTTCAAAATTGTCCGGATGTACTTGTAATTTGGCACCCGAAAAACTACAAAACAAGTAGAGCTACCAAATTGGATAAAATACACAAGTTGCTCTTACCTTTCTCTCCCATTTGGACTTGACTTTGCTGTCAAAAAACTCCGACGCTCCAGCTCCAGCTTTCGACATGGCTCGCAGATAATATCTGTTGGCTGTTGCCCTGTTATGATGATGGCGAGATTAAAACGTGAACGGCAAAATAGGAATAGGTTAACGGATTGGTAAAATAAATACCGTTGCACGTGCACCACGCCTTTTTCTACATTCTCTGCAGTCACCGCACGACTACGACGTGAAAATACTTAATTTCACGTTTTTCGGAGGACGTGGACGCTAGAAGATGACTTTTATTCTTTTCTAGTACTTCAATAAAGTCCTTTAGAATTCAGCTCCAGCGAAATCTGCCAACATTTGACGAATTGGGCATGAAAGAGATGAAATAAGCGCGATTAAGTTTGAAGCAGCGCTAATGCACTTTTCAAATGACGTTTTTGCAGCCTTCGCCGTCCTTGTTACTTAAGCTCCTAATTTGCAAAAAAAAAAAAAAAAAACCAAGAAGACTGATAAAAAAAAGTCAAAGGACCTTAAAAACAATAACGCTGGACAAAGCAAAAGCCACCTACCCAACACCGAACGTAAACAGCCGGTCACTGCGGTAGTTTTTATGAATCAAACACAGAGTGGTTTCTTCCTCTGTCACGTGACCGTCTGAGATAAGGAACAGGTTACGGGGATGGTCAGCGGAGGAGACTGCAGGCAGAAGAGAAAGTTTCTGCAGAACACGCCATAACTCAGTGCTTCCTTTGGTGGCTGATAAAGACTGGGAAAGAAATTGACGAAAACAAGAATAAAATAAGAATGAAATTTAATCATATAATATGACTACTACTAAGCAAAGGTTACGGAGTGCGGGCGACATCGATCGAAGGTCAAAACGCTTTAGCGCAAACGCTATGGTTTTCGTAAGTTTCACGTGATACATGGTCGAAACACGCATGATTAAATTACGATCGAGAGACAAAAGGTCCAAACGCGCGTGACCACGTTAGCGTTCGATGCATTCCATTCATTCTTAGTGGAAGTGTAAACAAAGCTGGCTCATACATGCGACGCATGCGTAATAGCATACCTGAAGATTAGGAATGCGGGCTCCTCTTGTCGCCCGCAATTAAATTTCATTTTTATTTTATTCTTGTTTTCGTAAATCAGATTATTGCTTCTTTTATCGCTACGAGAAGAATGTTTCTCTCCTGACGGATTTTCTTTGCTAAACACCACAGTTTGAGTCAGTTACTGGTGTCAACCGACATATGAAGTCCCTTCCGGGATTCGATCCCATGCAAGGTAAATTGGTGGACGTGGAGTTCCCACCGCAATAATCCTTACCTCCTCGATATTCACGATACCTGCCGTCTATGTGCGCGCTTTAGGATTGATGGGGAAAAAGCAATGTCACGTGGTATTTCAGTGTTTGTTTTCCATCAAAACCACACGACGATTTAATAGCCATGCGAATTGTACAGTTCGAGTTTTGACAAGATTTACGTCATTACTGTTTTAAAAGAGTGAGGACATTTGCGGTCGCTACTGCACCCAAAGAAGTAACAATAATCCTTTTCATTCATAATTCACTACTATGGTCTTCAAGATGAAAAGTTCTTCATTTTCTATTGTCTAAAATAAATTCTTGCAATTGGAAATTTTTTCGCTTGTTTACCCCCTGAGAAACCACGTGACATTGTTTTTCTCCCACCAGTCCTTAAGTGCGTGCAAAGATGGCGGGTATCGTGAATAAGGTTGTGAAGAATTTGCTGAATAATCAGAACTCTGTCATCCTTTGTTCAAATGACCACACTTAGGGCCTGTTTACATGGAGGTGGGGTACCCCAGATAGGTGAGGTAACCCGCTTAGGTGGGCTAACCCGCCTGTCCATATAAATGTTAGGTGGGGTAACCCGCCACATGGTACCTCACCTACCTGGGGTACTATGCCTTCATGCAAACAGACCCTTAATGAAATTACTAAAAGGAGGAAGGAGGTGCTGGTCACCTCACATTGAAATTTTCAGAGATTTTTACCTGAACAAATTTTACAGCATCTTTGTACGCTTCTGGGTCATTTCGCTTGCTACTGGGAAACAGCTCAAACTGTTCTGAAAAAGTGAAGAGATACAGCTACATCAGTAAACCCCAACACGTTAGCGTTCAGGGCCTGGATGTTCAAAGCCGGGTTAAGATGAGCCAGGGTTAAGATAAGCCAGGGTTAAAAAGTAAGATTCAGTTTAATACTTTTAGTCTACAGTTTGATAATTGGATGCTCTAAAAATATAGAGAAAATTATCCTACGAAATGCTTTGAACAAAAGAAAGAGAAACCCGGATTAAAATTTAGCCCCAGGATAGCGCTAATCAGGCTTCGAACAACTGGACTCTAGTGGTCAAATAGATCCCCACGACCTTAAACAAAAATATAAAAATGTAAGATGGCACTTTCTCCGACACAGAGGTCTCTTTTGAGCCCGTACGAACGAGGGGTGAAACGCAGTGACCGGACAAACAAAATACTGTAAAGACTATCATATTACAGCTTACAGATTTACATGGTGAATAAAGAAACAGAGGTAAAAATAATGTATGTCCGACAACTTTTCTGTTCTATCCGACTAAAGCGATGATCTGGCCGGACATACGTCTTCTCTTGAAAGAAAAACTTATTTGCAGGACTGTCCCCTTACCGGTTTAAACTGACGCAGAATTGTGATACAAGATATGAGGCAGCTTCTCACCTCACCTTTAACGAAAAAAAGAGTCCTATACTCTCGTAAGTATTATTAATATGCTTTCAAACTGCTTGCTTTGTGTGAAATTCTGGAGGGTCATTGGCTATTTACAGTGCATGTAACAGGCATATCAAGCATGATTTTTATGGGTCGATGGCCTCCTTCCAGTCATAATCCCCCTAATAACCTTAACATCGAAATGCATCTTTACATCATCCTAAATCATCATCATCATTATTGTTATGTTGTTTCATGATAAAAACTATTTGATGGGGAAAATAATTAAACCAGTTCAAAATTCAGGTTTCAGTTTAGCGCAAATTTGAGCAATTAATGTGCTACATTTCCCGCACTTTATTGCTGTTACCGCAGATTTTTACTTGCAATATTACTTTCACCACTTTCCACCGTTGTGATTTTATCAGTAAAATAACAACTAGAAAAAATATATTCATGTCAAAAATGTTTCTCAAAAATTGTTAGAAAAATTATCATACACTATCAAACATCTCAAATGATAAGCAACGACATTCAAACTCTTTATTGGGGAAAATAAATCATAGATCTAAACAAAATTATCCTGTAGAACAACAAAACATCACCACTGCACACATGACCTCTCCAAACACCAAAAAGAAAGGAATCAAGACTTACTGAGGTGCAGCGAAGTTCATGCATAAATTAAATGTCTTAAGACTAACAAGTAAGTACTTCAGCCGCTTTCGTGGGTCTAAACGATACAGGATAGTTTCTGGGAAACTAATCTAAGGTTTCAAGTGGATCAAATGAGAATCTTTCTTTTTTCGAATTTCATAGGATCGTTAGGTGGTGTACACCATGCCAGTTATTAGAGCCTTGCACGGTTTTTCAACTTATAACATGTACTACTAGAAAGAGCGCCTTAGTTTGAAAGTGATACCTACGAAACGAGTAAAGATATCTGCAAAAATGTACAGACAAGTTTGTGCCCCCACCATAAAAACGTCTGTAAAATTTTGCAAAGATATGGCTCCACTTTGAGATGCTATATCTTTCTTTATTGTTTTGCTTTTATCGTTTATTGTTTTTTTTGTACAACTTATGGCAAACAAAACAACGAACAATAAAAACAAAACAATAAACAAAATAGTTTTTAACAAATACTTTCAATCTTGGCTGTCGCAATTTGACTAAATTAAAGGCGCTCTCTACAGCAGAGTGGACGGACTTTCCTTAACTTTTCCATGACAAATTTGAAAAAAAAAAAAAAAAAAAAAACGTGGAAAGGACTAGTAACAGATGTATCGCACTGCTGCTTGCTACGAAAATTTGAAATCTTTTTCTGTCTTTAGTCTTTAGGTTTGCGTTTGGCCAAGAGTTTTCTCGCAAACCACATTACAATAGTAATATGTCCCATCAGAACAATCATGGAGAGGCCAACTGTGTTCATTAAAGTCGGCTGGGACGCAAAGCGCGCGGTCAGCACGGTCCGTCTTGCGTGCAGATCCGCCTGTACCGTATTAAACGCTTGTTGAATCCCCATGGCAACCAGGATATGTTGCAAATTGTGACTTTGTCCAAAGTTGTCAAAAATGCCAATCATTAATCGTTCAGGGAGCCTCAAGGCGTACAACACCGCGCCCAAACCACAGAAGATCATGTGACGCTTGAAATAAATCATAGACGTGTAGTTGTAGGCGGGGTCGTTTTTGAACAAGAAGAGACGCACTGTGCAAGGTGATGTGATAACAACCCAGTTCATCATAACGATGGCGACTTTGAGTAAAGCTTTGTGGTTCTTAAACCGCGGATGACTAGAGACGCAGCAGAAAGTAGTTAGGAGAAAAGAGAACACGCATGATACTGTCTGAAAAATGGTCAGTGAATTGTGAAACGAGCAAACGGACGCACCCGCGACTCGCGAGTAGAAAAACATGGCTTGTCCGGCCGTAAATGTGTAAAATCCAATAGCTGCATAATCCAAGAAGAAGCAGATCCTGTGAGAATTAGCTGACATACAATTGAAAAGATGTGCTGATGAACTGGTCAAATACAGAATGGATATTCCCACAGCAAAAGAGATCAGCGGTAAGAAGAAAGGATCATCGGTTGGAAGAGACGTCATGTTAACTAAAATGAAGAGTATCAAAGCTACCAGATGGCTCCAGACGTTGATAGTCTCGTTGGAAAAGTGAAATAAACTCTTAACACAATCCCAGAATGATATACCAGGCCTTCGATATCCAGTCACGATGAAGGGTATTTTAAAAACGTCGGGTACCTGGCAGTGTTGTAAGCCATACACAGCGATCTGAGAATTTTTACCTTCATTTCCTGCCACGTCTTCATCGCCGATTGAAAGTAAATTATTCTTGTCGTCCTCTTGATGTCGATCATTATTACCAGTCTGAGGCGAAGTAATCTCTTTGGTGAATGTTCCAGATGTCTTTTTAGATCTTTTGTTAACGCATGACTGCATTATCAATGGCTTTTTTTGTTATGGATCGTCCTGTAGAAGATGAAAATCCGGTTCCGTCGAATTACTGTGTTTGTTTCCGCGGAAGTTAATGCAGGTGAACTTCGCTTGACGAACTTTACCCGTTGATCAGAAGGATAAAATAATCCTTTTTCTTTTTGTGGCTTCTCACAGCGACTCAATGAAGTGCAATTCTTTAAGATTATTACAACTTTGCTGCGGAGAGAATATGTTCAGCTGCGTGTCATTGATTTTTCAATATTAAGAGTCTGGCAGTTTGCGTCGATCGTCTAGGATTCGTAACGCAAATGATGCAAAATACCGGTTGAATATTAATTAAGGGTTAACAGCTATTAACAGCACCCGAGACGAATATCATGAATAAGTAACGGTTGTCTCATGGTTATCTAAACAACCCGCTCACCAACTAAAATAAAAAAGCAGGCAAAAACTGGTCATCCTTGTTTCCCATCACAATCCAGGTTATATTATCAGGGGACCAGACGCTTTCTTTTTTGAGAAACAAAGGGCTAATATGAACGAAAAATCCGTTAGTCAGTTGCTTGTTAGAAAAATTAAACTTAACAACGTTTCTTGACATTTCGATATTTCGAACATCACTACGTATCAAGAATGAGAAATGTCAAGTTTCAAAGTTGTTAAAAGAGTTGAATTTCGAATAAATTAATTCCCTGCATGATACTTTATTATGTAGATTTAGCCACGCAGGCTATGTAGATTTCTTATGTAAATACTTTGTTAAGTGCTTTGGGGCATTTTTTTTCACGCACTCTTGAGTCTTGAGAAAGCTTTAAAAGCCTGATTAGCTTTGAGCAAGTTTTCTACTTGGAAATCGCGCGAAGGTCGACACCACCCACAAGCCGGGGACCTGCAAGCAATTAACGAAATATAATTCGAAATCTTCTGCGTACCTGATTCAACATTGGCTTCGGTGAAGACTGTAAAAAGCTCTTTATTCCGAAAATGCTTGAATAAGCTCCTGTTCGCTTATTTAAAAGGGGTTGCTATTGCATGGTCAATCAAATTTTTATTCGTAGTTTTTCAAAGTTGTCTTTGGTGTGAAAAATCCCTTATTGTGGAACTTCTGAGAAATATGAAAGTCTTGCAAACGGTATTTCGAAAATATTCGAATTAGCGTTCCAACGGCTAGGGGGTGACTAATTCCAAAAGGGGCCTTTTTGTCAGTGCCCGCTAAATGGCATTATTTTCACTTGGTCAAGTTAACAGGAATCAAGTAGTAAAAAAAAAGCCTGTATGGAGGAAATCAGTTACACTTTCCTTAAGAACTTGCTAACGTAGGCCATCTATATAGAAATGTAATCGTTCGGGTTATTTCTTAGGGGTTGGGGTGGTATCTTTTATTAGAGGGGGCGCTTTGTGCGTGTAAACGCAATGCTGAATTTTATAAGTCGAGGAAATAAGGTGACTCAAATCAAATATGGCGGCCATGGCATTACCAACATACAATTAAAAAACAAGCATCATTATTGAAACTTCACCTTGCCCAGTTATATATCTATCACAACAAATTGTACACGAAAATAACGTGACGAAATTAAATGACACTGAAAAGTCGACACTCATTTACAATTTTTGATAAATAATTAACCTCAACGAAACTCATTCTGACTCTTTTCACGAATAATGGAAAGAGGGCCTGCAAATAATTAACAATTATTAGACGAGGTTGAGCAAAAAATCGTATGAGCAGAATATTATTGGCGGCCAAACACAGTTGAACGACATTGTGCATGAGCAGACCATCATTCGTCGGCAGTTATTTACAGGTAACGTGGTGGGTTCTCGGCCAATGAAAAGAAAAAGAAATTGCATCGAATGATCATTATTTCTCTTTGGAGAGGACATTTGTCCGAACAAGTCGCCTTCCTATTCTGACAAGCCAGAATACCGACATATATTAAGCTGACCGTTAATTTCTTCAATTATTGTGGAAATCTTCAGCTTCAAAATGATAATCTTTCGTATTTGATCATTCCTGTTCATCTTGTCCGACCGCATGTTGGATTGCGTGTCACAAGACCCAGAAAGAACACAGACATCCCAAGATCACATTATGAGGGTGGAATGTAATATCCATTGACGTGGGCAGGCCTGCGTGGCAGGCCTTTTCGACGCCTGCTACGCAGGCTAACGTGGGCGAGTCAATAATTGAAAAAAATAACTGTCAGCTTAATGAATGTCCGTTTTCTTGCTTGTCAGACTAGGAAGGCGATCTGTAACGTGAGCTTACCACGCCTGTGGACACAAGAGCAAACGTTTGTTTTCACAGTCCGATCCCCAGGGGGGGTACTCGGGATTTCAAGTGATGGGGATGATCGAATGGAGCCAAAAGTCAAGACCCAAAAAAATCCTTAGGGCTTCAAGCAAAATCCAAAAAAATCCCTGGACCAAAAAATTAACCCCCAAAAATCCCATGCCGATTTGGTGGCCCTTAAAAGTTCCAGAAAGGGGTAATGCTATAACACAAAGAAAAACATTGGAAATTTAAATAACAGCAAAACACGTTTGTTTGTACTTTATTCGCAGAACTACGCAGCCAGGGCACTACCGATTCTTTTTAATACCCCCAAAAAATCCCTACTCAAATCAAGCTACCCAAAAAAATACTTGCCAAATTTTCGTACCCAAAAAAATCCCGGATTCGAAAATTTCAAACCCAAAAAAATCCTTCGATCATCCCCGTCACTTGAAATCCCGAGTACCCCCCCTGGGGTCCGATCACCGATCGTAATTGTGTCAATAACAAAATTCTTTAAAAACGGATTGATTCTCAACAGCCCTTATTATTGCTAAATTTGGCTGATACAGCACCAGAACTGTCCAAGTTGACCACCTGTCTAATTAGAAGCTGCTTGTAATCGGACAAGACAAATCGGATAGCTGAACAACCAACAAAAATTGACCACCAAATGATGCTAGCCAATAAGGTTTAACAAATTAGTCCACGCTAGCAAATCAAAACCCAGGGGGAAAAAAAAGCTTCAGTGAGCAAGTGTAAAGTTAAAGCAGTTGGAACTCCATGTTCTGATTATATAGTTTCTCCAAACGTTGAAAGCCATGTTTTTGCTTTGGAAGCTGTAAGCTGATGAAATGAGATTTTTGTCCTTTGATAAATATTCCAGTCCCGAGAATCTCGGTTTTTGTTATTGACACAATTTATAATGGTAATAGGACTCTGTACCGTACAATTCAGGGTAATCAGGCTAGTAATTTAAAATCGTCCTCGTGCGATATGAAATTACTCGCCTGAGGTACTCCACTCAGTTCTATGACCATTACTTGTTCACAGCTCTGCAATCGAATTTTTCCAACGGATACAATTAATAGAATTATGCTGACTTCCCTCTCCCCCGACTCAAAATTGAATTTTTCTTAGACCACTTTTGTTCAAAATACTCCCCATAATGTTTACATCCTTGTGTCAAGCAATCCTCTCTACCTGGTAACGCCAATCAGTTCGCGTGACGATATTTTTTTTGCGCCATGGATTCCGCTTGACGCGAAACGCAGAGATTTAGCAAACCAGAACACGATACCGAGATTTCCAGCCAAAACTAACAGGGTCAATCCAATTGTTTCGGTGAAAGCCGGAATATGTTCCAGAGTCAAAGCTCCTTTTCTCGCTTCCAGGTCGGAAAGGAAAACAGAATACGCAAAATGGTCACCAAGTGTTGTCATTACATGAAGAAAGTGATGACTCTGGCCGATGAAGTCAAACACGCCCGGAAAGAAACGCTCGGGCACTCGGGTCATGTTCGCTAAGGCAGCGGTTGCGAACGACAGAAAGCAGCCAATGAAGATAGGAAACGAATCCGGATTACAGAACGGATCGGTAGAGCAATTCAGCTGGCGTACAAAATACGGCGAACAATTATGCACCCACGAAACCATATACGAGCCAGTGCGGATAATGAATCGCAAGTGCAACCAGTGATGGCGTGACATACAGCAAGAATAAGTGGCACCAAACGAAATCAAAGCGGATAGGAAAAGAAACAGTTCACGCCAGTCGTAAAGAAGAAGCCCTGATTTGATGGGGTGGCAGTAAAAATAGAAGGCTTGTCCAGCGGTGAACGTGTAGACGCTGATAGCGGCGTAATCAAGATAGTAGCCAATATGAAACTCCCGCTCGGTCATTGAACTGAACATGTGCGCCAAGCAACTCATGGTGTACAGCGTGAAACAGCCAAGGGTGAAGGAGGTGAGCGGATAATAAAAATGATCTGACAAAGGATTGTGATACCACACAACATAACAGTACCGGGCAATAAGCAACAAACCGGACAGAAAATGACTCCAGAAATTCACCGTCTCATTGTTGGCATGAAACACGCTTCTGGCACACTCCAAAGCCGTCAAGTTACGAGGCCGATAACCCGTTAAAATGTACCTCTCGCGGAAAGCTTCCGGTACCTCAATGTCCCTTAGCAACTTCGAGTAATTGAGGGTCACAGAGGGAACCAAGGTCACTCCACGTTTCGGTTTGTTCTTATTCTTGTCTAGAGACTTTAGGTTCGATTTTAAAAATGCAATGTTTCCGTCATGTTCGATTTGAACTTCTTCGTTTCTCGTCTCTCTCGATCTTATGTTCACATCTGTCCCATATCGCTCTCTTAATCTTGGTCTTGTGAGCATACCGTGTTCGTTTGGGTCCCTTCGCTCTCCCTCTCCAGATCTTGAACTGTTCAAGTTTTAATCCTTTAACTCTCCACTCGCCGTAAAACTGTTATGTTAATCTGATCATCCTATTACGCAAGTGGGCACTTGGTAATGCATGACCAATCTCGATCCAGTCGATATTGCTTCCACATATTTTATATTACATTGCGATGTAGTTTTAAAATACGCAAAGACAAATCGGCGAACGCGTTTAGAGAATAAAATCAACAGCTGTGAATCATATCAATTAAAATGCGTACCAAATGTTGATAGCGTGGTGCTCTCGATGAAGTGATTACTTTTATATTTCGAAAATGTCAAAGTCCTAAGTAACATACTAGATATGCTAATTTGCTGTGAATTACATATGCACGTGCAACACCTTTCCTTTCATAAAAAAAGAGAAAACATAAATAAATAAAAAAATAAATAAGATCACGAAACGCACGACACAATGTTACAGTTTGTGCTGTAGGGCAATCAATGAAATAAATCAAACTACTTGATGTCACGGTGCCTTATAGTTTTGCGAGTGTTCAACTAAGAGACGGACCATTAGAAAACCTATGGGGGGGGGGTCTGCGTTACGTGGCCACGTTATGCTCTCATGGTACAAAGGCTGATACACTGACCGAAAAATTGTTAGCTGTGCTGGAATGGACTTTAGATTGAAGGATGCAGTGGTTTTTGGACATTGCCCGATGTTTATTTAGAAAATACCCGTCAGAAGACCATGTAGCTCGATTTAATTACGCCTCCTTTGTTCCTCTACAAACTATGATAAAAATCATAGGATCCTGTCAAGATCCCATTTAGGTTAATCGGCGGGACAGAAAGATAATATATTTACCCGTGCGTAAAGAAGTTTCAATACAATATTAAGAAATGCCTTCATACTTTGTTGAAGTATGGTCTCTTTTAGGGGTCAAACATCAAACAAAACCTGAGCCAAGCTCAGATTGGGCTGCTTTATTTCCGGCTGTCATCCTTGCATTGTCTCTTTCATATGGTGGTACCCACCCCCAAACTGCACCTCCCGAAGAAGCAAAGCACTGCAGGAGAAGTTAAAGCGTTGGGACACTCCACTGACAGCTACATCGCCCCATTTAATGGAATCCGGATTCCGGAACGAAGGAAATTTTTGCTTGCGGAATACAGAATCCGGGAAATCGTTGCTCTCCAGTTGTGGAATCTGGAATACAGCTCAAGGAATCCGGAATCTCACTGACGATTGCAATCCAGAATCCACGTTCCACTAACAAAGACTGGAATCCAGTACGTTGAATCTAGAATCCACAGCGTGGAATCCAGAATCCAAGACTGCCCTTGATTCCCTTACATTAAGCGAGCTATGATAAATTTTTGCTCCTGCTACTGTGTAACTATGACTTACACGGATATAAATTTGGCGAGCCAAGCCATATACGTAACAACAGCATATACTGTGAGACGCATACCGTACTTTTTTTTGTCAAGGATTAAGATTTTGGTCCAAAAGCACAAGTAGTTGTTTTAAATAAGGGCCTCAAGCATTTAGTTGTGGCATAATGATTTTTAACTACAAGAACAAGATACACGGCTGCCAAGAATTGCGATTAAAAAGCCCTTTCTTATTAGAGCCCGATAGAGCCCGAAATAACTGCAGTTTCAATTAATGTTTTGTCCACCAGGCCAAGCTAGGAGTAATAACATCGACAAAATACGTTACTGTAGTCAGTATATTGATGGTTTGTTTCAGGTGTTCAGCTCCCAGGAACAACGAACTGCTCAGCTGTGCAAACGAGCTAAAGGGTACGACTTACAGCTGTCCGCAACGTTCTACACGCGTCTCGGCAGAAAATCAAGGGTTTTGCAAAATAATATTGCAGTAATCACTTACTGCTTCCAAACACAAGTATGTTAAATATCCAGTCCTTGTTCATGAGACTCAGGCACATCAACAAAATCTTCTTTGCGTCTTCAAGGGGTGGGCCCTAAAAGAAATCACAATTGGAAATAAAGCCTTTCACTATTGGAGTGATTAAAGAAGTGTATCTTTACATGAAGCAAACTTTGGTGTAATGTCGGTACAACATCCACCAGAGCTAAAGCATTTCGTTTATAATAATGATAATGATAATAATCATAATCATAAAATAATAATAATAGTAATAATAATAAGGAGAAAGAGAAGATTGATAAATATCGAGACCTGGCAAGAGAATTGAGAAAACTGTGGAAGGTCAAAACAAGAGTTGTGCCTATTGTTATCGGGGCACTTGGGACAATCCCAAAAGGATTAGTAGGCCATCTTGAAAGCTTAGGGGTGAATCTTGATTTGGCTAAGATTCAAAAGACTACCCTATTAGGAACAGCACGAATCCTCCGACGGGTTCTTGACTACTAAGGTTGCAGAATGTGACCTGTAACAGGAACTGGCTACCAATTGATCACTTAGACTCAGGAGCCCAGTTATGGGCTCCTGTTAGAGTTTTTTCATCATCATCATCATCATTATCACAATTAACAATACGACTCACCTTCATTGAACAAGAGAGGTCAAGCAAGAATAAGACTTCGACTTCCCGAGGGGTTTCAGCCTCGAATTCCGGGTAGAAAGTCAGCATACAAGCCTACAAACAGTGCGACAACGGTAGAGGCCTATTAGCTAGTGTGATAGATACACAGCGATACTTTTGAGAAATTACTTTATTCATGCATGGTTAGCTTTAAAAATGTCTCCCCTTTGCAAGTGTAATCTAAACCTTTTATTATGGGCATGGCTATCCGAACGGACCTATCTCGATCGTTCGGGATCGCCCGTTTTGTTCCACAAGAAAATATTTTGTTCATGCAATGATTTCATTCACATCAATCACAAACTGACCTGACTGTCTGGTTTACTGATATGTCGCTCAACCCACATCCGGGGAACATGAATCTCTGCTAGACCAATCAGAAGCTGGAAGCCGTCTTCCAGTGACTGACCATCCTCCAGTGAAACTACTGCTTTAGTGGCTGTCCGCTGGATAAAGAGATCGATGAACAAGAACGGTCAATAATGGCCCCCAAGAGGAGTGGGTTTGGATTAGAGCAACGGCTCAGAAGGATGTTTGGAACGAGTGCAGAAATTCCGTGCTAATGACGTGTCACTTTCCAGATCTGTGTAGTGCTTTGATTGGCTGAAACAAATTTCCCTCGCGTCACGACCAATCAGAAGCACTAAACAGATCTGGGTACTAAAACGCCATCAACATGAGATTTCTGCGCTCGTTCCTCCCCAGGTACCCCAAGCTCACGAGTGATAATCCTTGTTGTGTAACAAATATTATAAGGGTTTGTAAGGAGATTTTAGCGATCGTTATTTAGGGGTCAAAAATAGTAATAAACGTACATCAGAATTTCTTACCTTGCCTTTTTGTTTAAATTTATGGTGTGTTCTTCAAACGGCCTAAAAGGCTAACAACACACCATAAATAAAATAAGGACGCAAGGTAAAAAGTGTAGATGAATTTTTATTGCTATTTTTGACCCCTAAATAATGATTGCTAAAATCCCCATACAAACTCTTATATTTCTGTTACACAACAACGATTCTCACTTAGGGGTCCAAGTGAGGGCATTTAATAGATAGGAGGCGTTTATTCTCATAACTATAACAAGCTCAACAAATTTAATATGCTTTCGGTGAAAACATCATATCGCTGTTTCAAATCCCAGTCCATCGATTTCAGAATACTCGCTCAGGGTTATTGTGCTGCAATCATTAGTTTATTCTTGCTTTCAACTTCACATTGAACAAGATGAAATAAGCAAAGCCTTCTTAATCAAGCAAGAAACTGAATGAATTGAATGAATTTGCTCCTTTTTGTTAGTCCGGGTATTTTGGAGCAATTCTCATAGGCGGCGTCTATTTGACAGGGGCGTTTACTACAGAGGGGCGTGCGTCAAATACAATTTTAACAGCGTAAACTGAGGGAGCTTTTATTAGACAAGAGGCGTTTATTTGGGAGTGGGTGTCTATTAGGTCATTTACGGTAAATGAAAATTCCCTGATATTTGACAAACTGAGTGATGCTGAACAAACGCGATTAAGTTTGAAACAACGCAAATTCACCTTTATTGACGTTTTTAGTTAACTATCTGGTAGTTGCCTTAGGCTTCCTGATCAGGGCCCGAAAAGGCGACTTTTGGCGTTAGTTTCTGCCTCTTATAGGCAAGTATTGTTCACCTATACTTCAGAGAGCAGATAACCGTAAATACTTTTTTGGAAGACGTTTTGAGTCAGTAAGACTGACTGTATACTGCATCAGTACAGTATAAACCAATAGCTTGTCACAATTTCGTGTCCATAGAGTCTTGTTCGAAAGCCAGCTGAAGACTGTATTTAGCATCAGTTTGTGTTTTTCCCAGCTGTGTTGCCGACGTCAGATTGTAAACGATGTTATCTCTTCCCTCTATGCCTTTATTTAAATACGCAGTCTGACATCTTGAACGACAGGAATTCACCGTTTGTCTAAACTCAGGGATTTTTAATACGTACACAACTGGATTGACAAAAGAGTTGGAATAATTAAGAAAGACTGTAATATGAAAGAACTTAAAGGAAACAGAGAGCTCGCCAACTGAGGTTAAGTAATGTAGAGCCACATGAGGAAGAAACAAAATCACTGCCGCGGCTGACACAGACAGCAAGGTTTTAGTCAGGTGTTGATTTTGGGAGCCTCTGTTTTGCTGATAAAAAGCGTTATTTCTCCGTTGAAATTTTCTCCATATACCAATGTTACAGCCACATAAGATGAACAAATAAATCAAAATTACCATTGCCCAAGCAAGGTCAGAAGCTTTCGAGGAAATAAATGTGTTTATGACGGTGTAGAGGGAAGTCGCAATGATAGCTAGTGTCCAGATTATAGTAATAGCAATGGCATACGTGCTCATAGATAATGTCCGATGCTTCAGTGGCCAGTATACTGCATAGAATCTTTCACAGGATATAAAAACTGCTGAGATTAGAGAGGCCTGCAAGAAAGTGCTATCGAAGTGGAGGAAAAAATACAACAGTACTTGATGAGCATAGGCGATGCTCCATAGCTGATAATGAAAACCGATACCTAGGTAAATATACAAAGGCACGGATACAGCTCCTAACATCATATCTGCGAACGCCATATTGACAACCAAAAACAAACTTTTCTTGCGAAGAGTCTTCTCCAGGGCAAAGAGAACAATTGTTAGCAAGTTCCCACTGACGATTAAGACCGCCTCAAGCATAAAAGCGCTACACAACGCTATTCCTTCAGCACGAAAAGAAGGGGAAAACATAGCTGACCATGACGTATTGGTAAAGTTTGCTGATGTATTTTCCATTGCTTGGAGCTTAACCGAGTCGATGATGAAATGGTACAGGCGTAGTGGTTGTAATGACCGATGCGGCAGGAAGAGTTATTGTGACAAACTTCGACCGCCAATAAATTCTGAAGTTTAATAATAATGACAAGTCACCGTTTTTTTTGGCAATCCTAGCAAACATTGTAAAACATAAATATTTCGGGCTTGTTGCCCAATATAAAGATTTCTCGCTGTAGAAAACTCTAAAATACTGCCGGTGGGAGATTCCGGGTGCCTTTAAGTCCAAATATCGACTTAAAAAGTCTGCAACTCCAAACATTTCCGTAATCACACTCGTTTAACACCCGAAACGAGTTATATTTATTTACAGTTTCCTTCGAGGTTTTTCGCAGAAAAACTGAAGCAAACATTAGATGTAAACATGATATACGGATATATCTTTAGTGTTGGCATATATTGCACACCAAGATCCATTTTAATCAATCAAGAAGGGGCAGCTAAATAATTGGTATCTAAAATTGTGTTCAAATATGTACCTTTTTTGATAAGCATCAACAGCTGCAACCGTTACGGTAATCAAACCTTGGCAAAACTAAAGAGGCCATGAGTTTTTTCTTGAACACATGCACATTTTTTGTAGAGGTGGGGTTGGGGGGCGGGGGAGGGAGTATTTTGAAAACGGTTGACATCCGAAAGTCTCAAATGTGTGAATGTGGCTAAGATTGTGTCACACAAAAGGATATTGAAGTAAAAAGAAAAAAAGCAGGATTAAACTATCTAAGTTTTTTTTTTAATGAAGCAGTTATGCGACGTGAACCGAACTTGGAATCTGATGTGACCCGTAATGCCAAAAAAATACCTTACACTAATTAGATGACGGAATTCAAACCTTTCTGATAATCGATAATGCTAAACTTCAGTTCTGAGGCCTGTTTTAAATATTCATCTTCACATGTGCCGAGTCTGATGCAATAGATTGAGAAGAATAGATTTCCTTCATTAGCACCACAATCAGCAATGTGAAGATTGACATTTAAAACGGACCTCAGTAAATTGACAAGGCGACGGGGAATTCTTGGCGCGCCATCAAGTTTTTTTTAGTTTATCAGAATAGCATAGCAAATTAATCCAGCAACCTTTAGTCATCTCACACACGAGAGCAAGCACGTAGTAACTGCCGAGAAGAGTCAAGAAACACTCACGAAAAACAGTATAAAAAACCATCAAAAAGCTGCTACAGGCAAAATAAACGAATTTAGTAAGACCTGGCAAAAGTAGGTAATATGAAACAAACCCCGGAACAACACATTTACGCACTACAATAGAGAAAGTTTCTAATGATTAATACAGAATAGACGACCGCCTGAAATTCAGCTATTAAGGACATATCCTGAATTTTATTATTACAGAGAAAGACAGTTCATTCCAGTTTGAGATGAAAAACTTGTAGTCGTTAATAACCATAAACAAAAAACTGGCAAGAGCGCCGCTGGCTTAAAGGAACAGGTTCACGATTCAGCACATGCTCATTTATCAAAATGCTGTTTTGTTGCCGGGACATGCTGTATCGTCTATGCAAGCAATACGATCATGTCATAATGTTGTCAAAGAACCAATATTATATCCTGGCGCCGACGCTATTTGTGGATTGAGTTTTGTTGTTGGTTCTCTCCCTTACTCCAAGAGGTTTTTCTCTGGGTACTCCGGTTTTCCCCTCTCCTCAAAAATCAACATCTCCAAATTCCAATTTGATCAGGAATAGTAGCTGAAGAACCACTAAACAATGCTACCTTTACCTCAACCACATTTAACTAAATGTTCGCAAGCACTGAGTGCCTTCACAGTCAGTATACATAGTGAGAAAGCATCCAAATCACAATTTGGTGTCCAAAGATTCCTGTTCGAATGCTAGCTGTGAATGATCGTTTGAAAATGTCTCAGCGGATTTGCCAACTTCCAATAAGAAACGACGATATCTCTTACTTCTCTGTATTCGCTATTAATTGAAAGGAAAAAACTGACGCTTTGAGCAGAGCAAAATCAACGATTGTCTGAATTCAGGGATTAACAATGCATACACAATTGGGTTAATAAAATAGTTGGAATAATTAAGAAAGATGGCAAAATAAAAAACTTTCATGGATATAGAGACCTTGTGCACCATGATTAAATGGTATAGAGTAACAAAAGGAATCCATGAGAGCACGGCGGCGGCGGAAACGAACAGCAATGTTTTAGTCAGGCGTTGGTTTTGGACAGTTCTGTTTTGCTGGGAAAAAGCGACATTTCTCTTTTGAAACTTTCGCCAAATACCAATGTTGCAGACACATAAGGTGAATACAATTATATGAAGTACTACTGCCCAAACAGAAAGAGCTGCTTTCGCTGAAAAAAGTCTTTCCATAACGAAGTAAACGGCGCCAGCAATAATAGCCAGCGTCCAGATTATTGTTATGATGAAAGCATATGCCTTGCTTGACAGTGTTCGATGTTTCAGTGGCCAGTTGACAGCATAAAATCTTTCACACGATATGAAAACTGCCGACATTACAGAAGCCTGCGAGAAAATGACATCAAAGGCAATGTAAAAGGAATCTAGAACCAATTGAAGATCATAGGATATACTCCGTAGTTGATATGGAAGACCGACGACTATTGATTATCGTTTACTGAAGTTGCATGTAAAGATAACCCGGACGGAATTAGTCTGAATAAAGTATTCTCTGATATTAGCCATAAATTGCATCAAGTCAGCACGTGGTAATAGAAAATGCAGTTTAAACATCAAACAGTAATATTTCGAGGCTTTGTTTAACTCGATAGGCCTTGTTCAACTCGACAACTTTTCCTTTCAAGGCAGATGGTTATCACTATGGAAGTTTTTCAAGCCGCATATATTCAGTTGAACATCTCCGTTGCTTTACCAAAAAATAAAATTTATTCACCCCTTCTTTTAACTGTATAGGCTTCAAGAAAGAAATAGAGAAAAATCTCACTGAATTGATCACTGACTATCGTGGGACAAACGATAAACAAAACTCTTTCATGAATAAAATACGTTTATAAGATATTGGAATATATTTTGAGCACTGCAGTGTCACCTACTCCACTCTCATAAGAGAGTATTATATAGGTAGAGAGTATTATACAAGTATAAATCTACGTCAATTTTAATGTGTGTTGTGACCAAATTTATACTCTAAGGGCACTTATTGGACTGTGACAGTTTTACACCGTTACTTATCTAAAGTTGTCTAACAATTTTTCAGATCACTAAAAACAGATAGCTACTAAGCTTTGGCAAAAAGATCTAGTTTCCTGCTTTGCGGCAAACGGTTGCAGTACGTAACTTTAATTATTTAAGTACATCGTGCTGTGTCATGCAGCATAGGATACTTATTAATTGTTGAACAAAGAAAACAAAAATCGAAATTTTCAACGAAAGGCCACATGCGGCCATGCAAAGGTAAACAAACGTTTTTATTTGAAAAACTGATCAAAACTACTTCAATTAAAAATGGGACTCAAACTTTGGCAATTACACAAATCCTCTTCCTTGTGTTAAACAGCCAAATAAGCTGAATAGTAAACACCTCAGTGTTTTGAATTTTAAAAACAAAAATAATAACACGAAGAAGAAGTTTTTGTGAATCGTTGGTTTCCGGGGTTGTAAATTTCATGATGGCAAATATTACCAATCACTCTACCAAGAAGAACGCCACAAGGGTATAAAACCATCACTATAGCAACAGCAAACTTAGGCTTTGTTCACACTTGGTGCCAGCGCACTGTGCTTAAGTACGGTACTCGCTGAGGACTAATGTGAACCCGCCGTTTTCAAGTACCCACGCCAAATTCGGGCAGTGTTTTTAATCAGTGCATGAAGCTTTTACGTCGAAAATTTTGCGCCCAACCTTCACACTCATTTTCGAAGAGTAAATATGTTCATTCTTACACTGTATTGACTATGCAATTGCAATTGATTGTAATTATTACACATTTCACGTGACCTCAATACCGACGATACGTCATCGGCCAAATTAGCACTCGGAGCGAGAGCCAGCCTTTTTTCTGTGGTTAATAATCCTTCACTGTCACGCATTAAGAGCGAAAAAAAGTTCGAACTTACCTTAATTCGAATTGAATGTGACGGAGAGTCAATTGTGCGGATGTCAAAGGGCATCTCTACAGAAACTTGTACAGAGACATCTAAGACATCACTAAAACGAAAAGATGACAAAAATAGTAATGGTAATTATCATTCGAAGCAAATTTTTCTTTCTTTTCATTGGCCGAGAGCCCACCACGTGACCTACAAATAACTGCCTACAAATAATGGTCTGCTCATGCGCAATGCCGTCCAACTGCGTTTGGCTGCAAATAATATTCTGCACATGCGTAAAGGAAACCTTGCTTTTCTCATTCTTGCGATCGCTCTTGCGTGAAAATGGCAGTTCGCTTCGCTTCCGTAGGATATTCATCAAAAAAAAACTCGGTGATCGAATGATAAAACAATTATTGAACTCGGTTATCGCAAAATATCGTGATTTGTCAGTGTCAAATAATTGATCTGCTCGCCACAGACAAATCACGATATTTTGCTCAACCTCGTCCAATAATTGTTAAATATTTGCAATGGCGACTTTGAGTTCTTACAGTTCCTACGACGATGTTGAACATCTTTGCATCTTTCAGATAGCACTGCAATTTATCTGGGAAAACGGCCGACTCCCTTTTCTTGAAGTATTTACAGACGACAATGTACCACTCGTTTAATCAGGGGACAGTTACATGTTAAAACCTAACGTAAGACGTAACTTCTAAGGTCTGGTGTCAAAATGAAGAGTATGCCTGGGCTGAACGTCAAGGCAGCGTTGAGGCAGCGTGGCCGAGCAGTTAGAGTGTGGACTTGCAGTTTGGATGCCCCGAGTTCAATTCCCGCCCGGAGCGCCAGCTTGATTTGTTCTTGGTAGCCCCGAGTTCAACTTCTCGACCACCCTAGTGTAAATAGCCAACTGGTTTGCCTGCAGCCAGTTGGGATTCTTGATCCCATTGTGTTTGATTTAAATTATTTGTTTCCGAGGCATTTGCTCGGTCCCACTAGCATTAGTGCTATAAATACTGCCGACGGTAAATAAACGAAAATTTATTTTTTAAATAACTGCTAACGTCTGGCGTTTATAGAGTTTGACTGGGCTTAACGTCAAACGTAACTGCTAACGTCTTGGAAGACTCGCAAAACAGGTCATATTTGTGTTTATTCCAAAACTTACCTCGATCCTTTCTCATCAATATGTACGGTGTCCACATCAGTCTGAGTTGAAAAGAAAAAGTATTAAACCCGGAAAATATAAGAGAACCTCTATTCAATACAACGCAAACTTTGATAAAAAGCTATTCATCTAATTTCTAAGTTCTTGCTGTCTGTTTTTTTAACGTCTCTTTTGCGGATGAAAATAACAAATTAACTCCTGTGAAATTAAGGGAGGCATAAGACCAAACAGTAAAAAAAAAAAAAAAAAAAAAACACGCTCTGATGTTTGCAAATTTGTGAATGTCTCCACCACTTAGTCGACATGATATCAGAGATAAGGCCCTAAGGTAATCCCTACGACGGCCTAAACAGATGGGCTAACAGATGCATTTTATGGCAGCAAACAAAGTCGAGAAAACATTTTTGCTATTAATATTTTCAATTCAGTGCATTTACAGCAATTATAAGGTATGCAAAGTTCTAAACTAGGTATGTGAAAGGGGTACTTTTTCTATCAAATGGTGTATATAAGGGTAACTAAGAGGCTGGGCCTCGGAGCAGAGCCTCGCCGTGTGTATAAAACGTTTTTGAATACCCCCCTCCCCGGGAGAATAGGTGGGTGTCAAAGCCTTATTACCTGGGTGATCTCCTCTAGGGCCTTATTCCGTTTCCATGGCGCCACGGAGCCAGGAAGTGAGAAGCAAATATGTTCCCGCTCCACCAGGAGTTCAGCAACATAGGTTATCTTGATCAACACTTGCGCTCCAGGAGGAAGATTTCCCACGCTGACCGTGAACACATCCTGATTATTTACAAATAATTAGGGTGACAAAAGAGTCTTCTACCACAAAAAGATCTTTCTTGCTCGTACTGCAGTGAATAAAGCGTTTCATCGCAGTACGTAGGGTTAAACGTTGGATTCTTATAAAGGATTCAACAATTTTTTGTTGCTAATAAAAATGCAATATTGCGTCAATTTTCAATCTTTTCTAGGTAGGGCAAACAAAAGTATACCAGCGGTCCCAGCGGTCTCTACTTTTGCTGATTGATAACAGCATTCATACTTGGTATCTCAGGTAATTCATGATCATTTGTGAGGTCACAATCAAAGTCTTTGCTTTCACCTCTATCGAAGATTGCAGGTGCTAAAAAAGCCAAATAACCAAACATTTGTACATTTGTACGTGACATTTGGCATAAATACCACTCGTGATATTTCAAAATTGTCTCAAATTCCACTCGGCTAACGGCTCGTGAAATTACGTATAACAATTTCGAAATATCACGTGTGGTATTTATGCCAAATATCTCTACAAATCATGCTATTCCCTATACAAATACAGTGCATATGATTCTACCACCTTTATCAAATTTATAGAAAGGCCTCGTCGAAGTTTTCTTCCAGCTAGTTACCTGCCCTCTACTATTTTGACGAAAGCAGACCCTGCACAAGAAAAGGTTTTCTAAAAGTTCCACAAAGATTAGAATCACTTGACCTGTCGCATCTTTTTGTCAAAGTGTAAATAACAAGGAGTTGAAATATCAGCAAGTATGACACGTGACATACCGGTGTCTCTTCGTCCATGAGGTAGGCCCCATGCCCCTGACTGATGGCTTCCCGATATTCCTTGTGGGCTTGTTCTTTTTCTTTCACTTCACCCACGATGTGTTTACCGTTGATAAAAGCTTCGAAACCACAAACTACAGGAAAAAAGTATTGTTATTAGCTTTCTCTAAAGAAGCTACAAACTTACAACGGGCGGGCCGTCCTGTCACGTCGTTGAACAACAAAGTTTACATCAATTATCAAATAGTCTGAAAAGACTGGGTTCCAAAGTTCGGAGGAAGACATCCTTAGTGGCTTCACGGTCTTATGCAAGAATCTAACTTTGATGAGGCCTTTCCTTGACAATTTAGTAAAATAACAATTTATAATAGATAATAGAGATGTTTAAGAAGAGCAGCTTGTGTGAAGAGAAACATACCTGCCGCCATGTCATCCAGGGGAAACACATATTTAGCTTCTATGGGTGATGAACTATTGTTCTTGTACGCTTGAAACACTATCACCTGATGGAAGCATAATTACGTGACGTTTTACATTAACTTTCACAAAATTCATTGCATTAGTGGGGCTTTTCTTACCTCGTCCTAATGTACACGGTTAGGGGGTATCCTGGGTATAACAAATACGGCTTTAACACTCTACTTTTCGACGTATATGCAGAAAGCGAACATCCAGCTACAACTATGGCTATGCAGAAAGATCGCTTATTTCATCGATGACGACTAGTTGTGGCAGTTTTATACGCGTGCGATCCTTAAACAAGCGGTCAAGGTATCAAGTTTGCTACTTTAGCCATTCCAAGGGCAAGACTTTTAAGTAAGCAACGAGTACTCAATACTACATCAGGAGAGTTAACAGCTTGATCAAAAGCTGACCTGACCAGCAAGATCCAAAAGCTTGGCTCTGATGTGAACTGACTGGAGCGGAAGAGGCTTATCCCCAGTCCCCTTAAGACCAGCTTCAACTTTGGTCAGTGGATCCACAACTGACATGACATCTGACAAGTCTACAGCGGAGCCTTAAAAACACAAGAAAGCACGTGACTTATAGGACTTACTTACAGGACGGCCGGGAAATGGAGTTGAGTGGCCAAACCTCGCGTGACTTTGGATTTAGTGGCCAAACTAAAAACCAATATTAACTAGAGACTGTATACAAAACACTGCTTATATGTTACAACAAACTCCCTAATGGAATCCTTTACAGTCAAAACCCGCTTAATACGGACACCTCACAATTACGAACAGTAAGCTTTGTCCCTGGGGGAAGAAAGGCCTTCATTTTCCTAAATTCATCCCGCTTAATAAGGACACTCAGTCACCGTCAACAACGAAAGCCCTATTCAGCACTACGTTCACCCGGACGATCATACTCAACCTATTTATGAAATGACTCTGGGTTCAAACCTTTCTCAGTTTTACGACCACTCCGTTAATACAGACGCTTTCTATGGCCCCCCGGCTTAGTCTCCTCATTAACGGGGTTTGACTTTCCCATATTTTCTTCTCAGGGCCACCCTTGGCGTTAATTACCACATCTTCTAATGAAAAAGAGGCGTTTTAGCGATTATTATTGGCGAGCTTCAGCAATAACGTTTGTGAGCGAGGCACGTCAACTTGAAGTAGACATTTGGCAATCCGTGGGCAGTGTTTTTGCCCAAATTGTTAGGTAAATGGCGATACGCTTAGGCAAAACGCCTTTGCTTAAAAAAGAGTACGCTCGCGGAATTTACCGAGAGTTTTTCCACAATCCAGCCAAACCAAAAAACTAAAATTCTTCATGAAAATCCTACCCTCCATGTCTTCCACTTCCTCGTCTGAGAAGCCGCTATCAAGAGACACGTCATCTCTGGGCAGTACATTATCGCCAGGCAAAACAAATTCTACCAAATATCTAAAAAGTGGGAAAAGAAGACAGTTATGAAATATTTACCAACAATAAATAAATTCCAATAAAGACTTATATTTGAGAACGAGAACGACATTTGAATTAAAGTTTTATTCGCGAAGTCTAAAAAAAAAATAAGACAGCCAGAAAGTGTCATTTTACTTTTTATCAACAGAAAAGTTAACACGGTTATTTTTTTTTTGAAGGAGTTTAAGTCCTCTCCCGATCAAAACATGAAAAAACTTGTACCATTTGATAGCTTGTTTCCGCCACTACGCTATTTTCGCTTAAGCCCGTAGTAGAATGACGACAGCTATTGCGTTTTCCCGCCAAAATGACGGAACTAGGAGAAAGCACTTAGAATTACGGGCACACAGGACGAAAACGAGCACGCATGGTAACCTCACCTTTTCATTAAAGATTTTCAATGTCAATTGTGACAAGTTTGAAAAAATTTTGAATAGTGCATCATTTTGAAGGGAATTACCTTACGTAACCAAGAAGCCTACAGGGACGTCTTTATAAGGTGCATTCGCATTCATGTTAAAATTTTGGCGGTTATTTCAACTGGCTTAATTGGTCAAATGTAAACGAGTTTTTTACTGGAGTTGAACTTTTAGAAAGCACATTAAACTTTAAAAATAGAAAGAAAAATTTGTTGTCGAGTGTTAACGTCGTCAGCCGTTTTACCCATGGCCACTGAATGGCTGCTACCCTCGGGAAAGCAACTTTCTGTGTGTGACCGATTTTCTCAAGGTGAGGTGAAACTGACGCGGGGAATTGCCATGGATAAGTCATGAGAGAACAAAAGAATTACCCATGACAATTCCCGAGGTAAGAACCCAAAGCAGTTCAACCAATCACGAGAAACTGAGAAAGTGAAATGTACCAAACAGTAGAAATCTCGTGTTGTTTACGCACTGTGTTCGCCTTAGTGCCAAATCCTACGCGAAACGGGACTCAAATTTCCAAAACACAGCAGGATTTTGAGCGCTGCTGTGAATGTTTTTACGTTTAATATATTCAAAAGCATCTTGAAACACTCACAAGTTTTCTTTACATCAGTGTTCCAGACTTCTTTTCTTATGAAGTCGTTGGAACCAGTTTGTAAACCCGTACTTTTGACTGTTCAGAAACAATTTGCCTTTCATTTTTGCGGGAATGAAGTCGACTTCCTCGTTTTAATTCTCAAAATTAAGGGCTGAATGTGGGGGTTTTATTAAAAGGGTAAAAATGGTCGAAAACGTTTGCGATTTATGGAAGCCTTCCTTGTTAACAACGCATTTATCGCAAAACCGTTTCAAGTCCTTCCTTCCCCTTGGGCAGTTTATGGACGTGCAATCGCAAACATGAAAGTGATCCAAAACAATACAAGAGCGAACCCAACCCAAGCTATTTTCACAAGGGTTAGCGGCTTTGGAGTAAAAAGGTGAAGTGTAACCGCACCTTTTGGAAAATTTCATGTTGTAGTTGTGCAGTGACGGCGAAGAAATGTACAAAAAAGTGTGCTGCACGTGCAGAGTTGTTCTTTTGCTCATTAGACCCATTGCTTTTTTGTTGTCCCCGTCGGCGTCGCCGTCTTGGTTGCTCTAATTAGGGCTCTAAGTCCCCGTAATACTACTACGGAAGTCCAAGCCTACCCAGTTGCTAAATTTGCCGCTAACCCCAGCTTAGACTCACCTTAGACGCTGCTGGTTACCACTGTAGACGGCAAATTCGTCATCCTTACAAAAGACGAAAAAAGGTCAAATTGAGGGAGCTGTAGCCCGCATCCCTCGTATTATCTCCCCTCGCGGAGTAACTGTCTTACTAAGAGGAACCCGAGTACAGCTGATTAAAAAAATATGCCCACACTTATTTTCAGAGGGAAACATTTTACGCCCTCAAAAATATGAAAAGAAAATGTAATTGCTAAACATATAGATCAACAGGCAAAAATGACAAACATCCAGGCAAAAACAAACTTCGTGTCGGTATACTATTCGTTAATCCGAGGAAGTCAACCACGCAAACAAACAATACACCGGATAAGACACAAGAACTTTTTTAGTTTTAACTTCAGAGAATAAACTCCATGCACGCACAAGAGTTGAAAAGGACAGAAAGGCTAACAACTGACCTTAAAATCTGACGGCTCACCCTCTGTGTTCTGTACTCCGTGACAGCTGTCAAAACCAGTTGGAGCGGACGTCAGATCCATGGAAAATTTCCTCAACTCCTTTAATTAATACAAGGGTTGTTTAGCATATACACGGGCAAACCGGTCGCCTTTCTTTATTTAACGGTTTGGGCATATGGTAAGAAAGATTCTGAAGTGGTAAATTTTATTCCGTAGCTGTGTTTACCATTTGCACAAACCAGTTCCTTTTCCAAAAAAATGTCCGCGAAAGCCTGAAACTGGTATCAAAGATAGTTTTTCAGATGTTCGGTATCTCCAGGAAATTTTCTTCTGGAACGACACGAAAAGCATTATCAATTTACTTTTCAACCGGAATTTCCAGAAACTTTTTGTGTATGGGAAAACAAACAAGTTGGCAAGGCCAAGTGAAAACAAGAATAGGAATTACCCAGTATACGAGAATGTAGTTTGGAAGAGATAAAATCTTACTTGTTAGATAAAAATAAATACCATGAAGTTAAATTATTGATCGTACCTTGATGTTGCCCAGGGCAACCTCATTGACTAACATGAGTCTTGTTCCATTGCTAGCTGCGGCGGAATATTTAGCACTCGTGCTGCAGTATAAAAGGTACGGGGAACCATCTGATTACGAAAAACTGTATTCGATTTCACCTTTATTTATCTGTTGCCCTGTTATGAGGCGCACTGTCCAAATATTTCAAACTAGTCTCCTTTACAACTAAACAATGAAGCTTTCAGCGTCTTTGAGGATGATGCTAAGTTTCAGTTATTCACACAAAGTTATGGGATTGCAAACGTGGTACTAGGCTTAGTGGTGCATTGTTGAATTATAGAGGCAGGGGTGAGAATTTTACAAAACATGGGTGTCAGCTGGGTATAGAGGTCGGTAACTGAATGCGGAGAGATAAAATAGCTGAGCGAAACCTGTCCTACCACTGGCAGTCATTTGCGCTTAACTACTCCTTTATCATTTGGTAAAACAAGCAACACCAAAAACTACATTCCAACCTTGCTGAACTGGCAAAGTAGATCCCACTTCCCAGCATCCCTGCATCTGATCGTTTCCCTCCAAAATCCTCCACAATAATTTTAGGCATTAAAAGACCCCTAAGAAAAGACAAGCATTACGTAAAATTGTAATTCACATTCTTTGAAAATAATTACTGCAATCATGAAAGCGCTGTTAAGGTTAAGGTTAAGGTTTGTTTATAGAGGAAAGTGCACTTATCAAGCTAGAATACAGGCACTCCACTTAAATACTTAAAAACAAATTATTCAGATATAACACAACAGTATTAAAAACCCCAAACCGGCAGGAGACAGCCAGTTCGGGCTATTTACAGGCATGGCCGAGGATTTGAACTCGGGACGACCGAGAACAAATCCCGCAAGTGACCAGAGCGGGACTCGAACCCGGGACCGCGGGATTACGAGTCCGATACGCTGACCACTCGGCCACGTTGCTTCCTTATACGACAAGCTGTGTTGTAAAACAGGAGTGTTGCTTCCTAAATTCTCCCTGAGCATGGCACTAGCTTTGTAAAGATTTATGCGGTTTTTCGACTGAACAATAGAAAATAAATTGGCTTAAATCTATACTAATTGTAGAACATTTCAAAATTAACCACCCACAAAGTGAGCATGAACAGTTACTGACAAGGCATATGAGCAGAATGAAAAAGTGTCACTTCACATAGTGTCAGAATAAGGCATGAATAAACATCCTGACCATTTGTTAACTTAAATTATGTCTGAGCAAAGCTTGAAATAAAGATGCTGTTTCAATTGTCCGTCATTCAGACTGCGATCCACTTCATATAATAATTTATCTGGACCTCCCTCAACGTTTGACACCGGCTAACTTCACTTCCCACTGAACTGACCTTGAAAGAATACCCACGAAGTTTGTCACCTGCAATGAAAGAGAAGGGAATTGGTTTTAAACTACGTGGAAACTACTATAAAATTTAAAACGACCAGCTTGAAAGCCATTCATAGAATACATAGATCACAATTCAACAAACCATGCCAGTAACTGCAGTAAGTCCTAGTGGAGAGCTTCCATCTTACAACACAAAAATGCAATTCCACCTTGTCAAGTAACTTGGATTTAACCTTTGATTTTCAAATAACTGATCAAATCAAAAAAAAAAATCTACAAGAATTTCTAAGGCGCCGTCCAAAGTCTCAAGACATAAGAATCAGATTAAGAGTTTCCTAGCCTGCTCTCACCTTTGAAGAATGGAAAAGAAGTTTTTTATTTTGAATGTCGTGGGAAAAAGTGCCTTCTTCTACTGGACGCATGATCGAGAAAACGTTGAGTACTTGGATCTTGGAGGGACTGAGAAAACACGACACAGGAAAAAGTGAGACAAGAGAAATACCACATATATATTAGCATGGAAAGATTGGCCAAGATTTCTACATGGAGAACAAAAGGTCATTTACAGCTGCTTAGTTCGTGGCACAAAAATTTCCCGAGATGGAATGCTTGCAACGTAGTGGGACATTAATTGAACAGATCTTAAATGATTAAGACCGGAGTGAAGCAACAAATCTGATCTGTCCGGCAGTGGCGAGCAGATCCTTTACGTGACGATGCCCAAGGCAGAGGCAAGTAACCTGTCAGCGACATCAGTAAGTATGATTGTTTTCTTTTGTAATTAATTGGGGAAATACAGGGCCGCCATTGCCCCCGAACAGTGCATCCGGAGCCAAATTGCGCATGGCCAGAGCATTTGTTCCACTATTTCCGACTTCCAGCACGAAAAGAACGCGGACAAAGATCACGGTTAGAGAGCCACGAAAATCCCCTCACTAAGTTGCTTGCTGATCAACACAGCGTTTACGTATCACGTGACCAGAAAACTAACTGTTATGCTATGCTAAATGTGTTTTTTGCTTGTTTCTTTTACCTTGTTTCACTTGCGTTAACATGTTCCTGAATTTTCTTAAACTCGTCACTTTCATGCTGCAACCACTCAATGTGACACTTCAGTGCTCTGTACTTGGAGTAAAGACTTCTCCTTGTTAACCAGTTTGTAGACTCGCCAACACTCACCATGTCTTTGATTAGCTGTTGAAAGACACAGCAGTCAATATTTCAGCCGGGTTCAGGTACTGTCCATGAGCAAATACCCACAGAAATGAAACGTCCTTTTTCTCACAAAAAAAAAAACGGACAAAGCGTTCGCACTGCCGCGTCAATATACATTGGCATGTGACGATACCTACAGTTACATTGCTACCAAAAGAAGTTTTGTCGTGCAGTGCAGTGTCATTCAAGCCTCCAGCTTTAAGAGTATCAGAGTCAAATAAATATCAAGATTCCACAACTGGTGTGCGGGGGAAATGGAATAAACTGCTGAAAACACTTATCTGAATTAATTAATGCTTAAAAAATATGATAGATCATTTCCGAGTAGTTGTAAATTAAGATGAATCCCCAATTTGATCATTAGTTTTTTATCACTAATCCGCTTTGTAATGCACTGAAATACGTTGTACTGTCAACAAAAACTGCTGTGATTTGGAATAAAACGTTATCCTGACGCGAAGAAGCCCTGGCCCTCACCTGGCATAGATCCTGCTTCTGTGCAATAAGATATTTGGATGATATCGCTGTTCCTGTATTCCTGTGAGGAATAATTGAGAAGAACTCATCCGAAAGTTTCTTGAGTACACTAGAATCCTCAGCAGAATCCAGAGACCTCTTTAGTAGAAGCAAAACTGCTTCGGCTTTTTCTACGTCCTCAAGTTTAATAGAATCAGCAGAAACTGCGAGAATGTCCGACAGACTGCCAGTTGCCTCATTCCAAATAAAGTCAATCAGGTTTGCGACCTCAGGAGACAGCACAGTATCTTCCTCGGGACAATGTTCACTGACTGTTATCTGGATTAAAGTGAATATATAGATTTAGCCAGAGCTAAAAGCGAAGCTTTCGTTTATGCATTTAAAATTTACTTTAGACAATGACCTGGGAACCATTGCAAAGAAATCTACAAATCTATGCTTAACTTTAGGGGGGACCATATGGCTGGAAAACCTTAACAAAAAACTAGACCTCGATAATATCAAAGTTTTTCCCTGACTTTTCCCTGACCTTAAAAAACTTTCGTTTTTCCCTCATTTTTCCCTGACCGTGGCAACCCTGTTCTTTCGCGCTGTTAAGAGAAAGATCGATGTCTACGTGGCCGATTTTAAGTTAAGATAAAAGTAACAGGGAAATTTTAAGGCAAAATTTTGGACTGGTTTGTTGAGCTATATAGATTTAGGAACGATATTTCCAAAAAAATGTTTTCTTTTCCAGCATGCAATTGAGCAGTGAGATTCATCTGAACTGTAAAATGGAATCTAAGGTCAAGGTAACATGCTATGTACCCTCGCTAAATTTTCAGGACTAACATACCAGTTAAAAATTCAGCTTAATTTATTAGGAAAATTTTTAACACAACATGCCATCATCGACAAAATACCGCCATCATCGACGATAAATTACCTTGGGAATTATTCCGCAACCAATAGCGCACGGTAAACCCCACATTATAATTTACCAGCAGATAAATGCCTTTTACCATTGGGAATTAATTCACGAAATTCAGCCTAATTAGGTAATTACAAAATGCCCGTTAACTTAAGGGAAACGTTAAAATGCTTAAAACATTAAAACGTTAAACCCAGATACAAAAATTTACCTCGTTCACAGGGTTCTCTCCTAACGCTGAGAACACGGATGGGAATTTTGGGCCTTTCACCATAGTTTTTCAAAGTTGATCTCTTCTGTTTGGAACTTCAATAGTAATGCGCAGGAAATTTTTTTGTCTCGAACCCATGGTGCTTTAAGTTCCATGGCGATTGAGGGCGAGCAATTGGCAAAATGAAACGCGATAGCCAAATTTTCCGCTATAAAAAGGCATTCACAAATGGGCAAAAAAAAAATGGTTTTACTGCTAACGGGTTCGACGCCTGACATCCGTCTTTTTCAAAACTAGCGCCAAAGGTGCCAGGAGGCTTAAACAGGCTCCTGAAGGTGCATTATTAACACTTACGAATAGGCTCCTGCACCTTTGGCGCTAGTTTGATGCAGTCTATAAAGAGAGGGGAGGAACAAAAACGGTGAGGAGGGGGTGAAAAGGGGGGACGGAAACCTTTGGCTTTATCTAATAATGTTAGAGAAACAATTAAATGAGAAGAAAGTGAGACCGAAACAATGAAACAGATGAAGTATCTATGAAACAGTTCATTTTACCCTTGGTTGAAAAATTTTATATTCCTTTTTTTGGCACGTTAACTGAAAAGTTGGAAACAAACTCCATATATCTTTAAAATTCAAACCATTGATCGAAACAATACTACCTGTAGCAGAAAAACTGGGTGTAAATTTGTTAAACCTTCTGTAAGGTTATCGAAAAAAAATGAGCATTTTCATACTGGCCGACTTTAAAAAGGTTACTACACTCTTAACTCGGCCCAAATAAAATTGAAAGACGTTTTGATTAAGCTGAACCACCCTTTATTGACAAGGCCACACATCATAGCAACCAATCACTAAGCTCTTCTAACTGCACTCAAGAAGTTTAAAATACGGCTGAGATTTAATAGGGGAAATACAAAAAATACTTTTGCGTACAAACCTGAATCATTTTATCAGAACCAATTTTGTGTGAAAGAACTGACTCAGCCCTAGTCAAACTGTACGGTGCCTGTGTCTGTTGAGTGTCTAAAGCAGTGTATGCATCAAGAGCGTCCTCCACAGTACTGAAGTATCTGCACTCTTTGGTTCCAGGATCTCCTTCCTGTTGAATATGAAGTTTGTTTTAATCTTTATTAACATAAATAAAATATTTTGCCAGCACAGAGCAGTGACCTGGTGTGAGCGTCGCGCATGATGAATCTTGGTTCGTGTGTTTTGTTAACTAATAGGACATTTCCGAGTTCCAAAAACTCTCACCATTAAAACGAACCTAAGTGCAAAATCTTTCTTGTGAAAATGAACTCGTTTTATAAGCACACGAACAAAAATTCACGTTCATATCAATGGATTTGCACTTAACCTCGCTTTGAAACAGAGGCTTGAGGCAACTCCGAAATATCATCGCAAATAGCCTTGTTCCACTTGCGGCTCTATCAGTTTTATCTTTCTCACCTGACTTGTGCAGGAGGTGGAGATCTTTCGAACCATACCCGAACGAGCACGACTTAGTAAAACAGGCCAAAGAAACCAAAAGGAAATATTGTTCCGCTACCCACCAGTCACTTCCTTTCAAAGAATTTCACGACCCTTGGCATTTTCGCGGAAACCTTTCCCACCGAAGTAAAGCCTAGTAAAAGCTCAGAAAAAAGAAAAAAAAGCGGGGAAAAAAGTAAAAGTATCAAGAAGGAGAGAAGGAAGGGAGGAAGTGTCACTTTTTTAACCACGAAAAAAAATTTGTCTTCTGTGCTGGTGAATCCGGCAAACTTTGGAAGCTCATATTTAGCAGCAGCAACAGAAAGCAGCATATAACAGCTTTTAGGGCAGTCTTGATTCTTTTTGGTAAAATGATAGGGACTAAAAAATGACTCAACAGCTTCAAAACGTGTTTTCCTCCAAAATTTTAACCTGTTTTAGGCGTTTAGATAGTAGAACGCGGCGGAATTTTTCTCCCACGCTCTACTATCTGAACGCCTGAAACAGGCTACCAAAATTTCCAGGGGTGAATATGGTGATGTTTTTTCAAGTTGCCTCATTCTGCTGTAGGCCTTGCTGACAGAACATAATGTACGCTTTTTAGCCCCACGTGAGGGATACGATTTTATTGTATGTGCGGTAGGATATGGTGTTACTCTTAGTAAATAACAAGCCTAAGATCACTTGTTTTCCAATAAAAAATATAAAGATAATCCTTACTCTTAGCCTCTTGAGATTCCCATGATGGGTAAAAAGCCGATACCTCGAGCCACTGCAAGGTACTTGTCGAGGAACAACATGCAGCTCCAGACTATAAAATGAAACAATACTACCAGAGGAATCTGTACCCTAAAAAAGGAAAATTACAACAAATTTAAATCTACAGTTAAAGCCCCACAAGCACACACCCAAAGGACCACAAAAAGTGTCAGCATAAAGACAGGTGTCCATCCCTCAGGGCCATTCCACCAAGGTTAGAACCTCTCTACATCGGCCACCTTGGGGACAGGAGAAAGTGTCCGTTGTAAAGAGGTGGCTGTTGTAGAGAGGTTTTAAACTAGAGTCAATGTATGGATTTTTTGTCCGCCGGGACGAAAAAAAGTGGCTGTAGTGGGGAGGTGGCCGTTAGCGGAGGTTCAACTGTATTTCAATATCCATACCCCTTAGTGATGAGGTGTCTTTTACCTTTACTCCTTTAAAAAACTCTTTCCTGGTGCCCCATTCAGATATTAACATTTTTAAGCTTAGAGGTCGTCAGAAATACTATAATTTTTGTTCTGTGCCCCTCAGATGATTGGCTCATGAACAATGATATGTGGCATTCGAAATGTTTAATGTCCCACCTTAAGTACCAGATCTTTAGCAATTTCATAGCTCTGCTCATCAAAAACGGGTGCATCAGCTGACTTGTACTTCCAAACCCTGGAAAAGACCAAAGAGTTTTTTTTAAAATTAAACTTAGATTTACTGCAAGAAAGTACTGACCCTTGATTTTACTGAAAAGAAATGCCAACTGTGATAGTTATATCATGTAAGCCTAGCTTACTTTAAGCTTGATTTTAATACGGCTTTATTATGAGTTAACTTACTGTATTTTATTGATATCTGGAAGCCGGAGTTTCTTCACACTTTTTGTCTGCTTTTTGTTGACTTCACTCTGACCTACAAATTAGAAAGACAATGAACAATGAAGAATGAAGTGCTCCATAGTTAGTAATTTAGACACTCTGAATTTGTAACCACATAATTTATTTTCTAATTTATTCATTCCCAGTTGGAATAACATTAATATCAATACAAACAGCCATGAGTTATTTTTGGTAATGCATGGGAATTGGTGAATATATTGCTCAAGTCCGCTCAAGGCAGCAGGTCATTTTGTTGCATTGTTGGCTAGACTTTATTTTCAAGCCAGATGCTTGGAACAGAAATAAAAATTCCTGCACTAACCACTATCTCCCCATTATAGTGAGACACTGGTGGCCTGCCATAGGGGCAGACTGAGGCTAGATGATTTCACTTTGAAAATGTGATCCCAGCTATGATGTTATTTCAAGAAAATTCCAATTACACAAAAATTTATCATATCATTAAAAAAATTGAATTTATGACATACAAGCTATTTTTCCTGAACTAAAATTCCGTGAATCGCGTGTTTCTGAAAGAAGGTACGGTTGAGGATCAAGCAGCTTTCCTGACTCGATGCACTTCTTTACAAAATCAATAGACACCACTGCAATTCCATTCTTCACTGCAGTTCTTCCTTTATATGAAGACAATGTTCTCTCTGAATTACTGGTCACCAGATAACTTATCTACAACGGAATAGAAAGAAGAGTGGTCAATATTTTGGTCCACATCCTGGCAATAAGCTTATTAAGTTGGGTTAGATTGAGTGAATGCAGCTTTATTGTGTCTTAGAAGTGCTGTGCACTTGCCATCAAATAAAATAATGCAAGAAAGGTCAAAAGGAAGACCTTGTTTAACTGCTTTCACTGAAGTAAACCATGTATTTATTTGATAGCAGAGTCCCATAGCTAAGAAAATTTGGTTATCTATCCATCCAAGAAATTTTGGAAGTCATGTGACCATATGTCCACCCATCCATCCACACCACAATGAAACCAGCGTAAAATGTCACACTTTCTACCTAGTGTGGAAGCCTGCAACGTACTCCATGTTGTGTTCAATTTATTGAAGGCTGTCAAAACAGGGTACCTGCTGATGCTAACCAGTATCACAAGACTATACACGGGCTCAGCTGTTGACCCATCTAGGTTATGTGTATTTTTAAAGTTAATCACTGACAAGTTACATGTACTAATTTCAACTGATCGCTGACTCTACTCAACTGATGATTGAATAAGGGTACGGAAAATGATCAAGACAAACAGATTAGGAAGATGACTGTGCCTGTAACTCAACCGTATTAAACACAAATATATTTCAGGAAAATAACTGGGCTTTTGACAGTAAAAAACCTTATTTAAGCCCATTTCATTGCATTTAAAGAATGTATGCCCAACAAAGCTGATATAACTCATCTGGGAAGTAGGACACAAAGCATATGCTTTCTTGCTGTGATTTGCACTGTCATTTTGAAGCTCATGGCCCAAAATTAACTCACATCCATATTCTGTTAAAAGTACTTCTATCTTCAAAATTTATCACTAAAAGCATTTCTTGACCTCTAAACGGCCGCTCAAACAACCAGGCAGGTTTGTGGTGGTTTGTTACATGCTCCCTTGTTGCTAGGCAACTGCATTCGCCCAAACCGATGGAAAGAGAGAGATATTTACGGCCAACGCAAGATCACACTTTGCTTGGTGATCCTCGTGGGAGTCACACGTGATGCGAATTCTGACAAAATATAACCTTGTTTCGCTCGAGGCTTAATGCAGTGCCAGATCCAGACCTTGAGATAAGGGGGGGGGGGGGGTTCATCCAGACCCTTAGAAAAGGGGGGTCTCCAAAAAAATTTTTTTCGGTCCTTCGGGCCTCAGTTTGGTCTAAAAATAAGGGGGTGTGGACCCCCGGGGCCCCTCCCCTGGATCCACCACCGTAACGATCGTCGCTTTGTGAGGTATTATAGCCAAGCACATAAGAGGACAAACAAGGAAATCAAGACGAAGAGATTAGAAAGATGACAGTGCCTGTAACCAGTCTATTTTGGCTCCCTGACTCTTCCACTCGCAACATTGGCAGACGGTTTTAACCATTTCAACCAGTCAAAAAGCTTTCAATCATACACTGCTGATTACAGTTTGCTGCTGGTTTGTCAAGGAAAAGCAGGTAAGAAATGAAAACCCATCTTCAGAAAATAAAAGGAGAATTAAGCTCATGATCAATATGAGATACTGTCATATTGACCAATGACCACTTTCCAGTTACAGATGACAGGTTGCAAGAGAACAATGGACAGATACTAATGGATTGTATTATTTTTCTCTTCCCTTCTGTTGTGCTCCACCCTTGTCCCTGACTGTGCCCCCTTCCTCCAAACTCAGCTAAATAACACCTGTGGTGCAAGCTCCTTGCATGGCGATCTGTTATTATGAACAATTATGGAGATCGAGGAGGGTGTTACGGCCTCGAGGATAACACGCTCCGAGATCTCCCTAATTCTTCATATGATACGAAAGCAGAATTCAATAATTGTTTTATTATTCATTCAAAATAATTCCTAGTTTAAAAACATAGCTAACACAAGCTTACCTGAATCGATGTTAAGTTTATCTTCGATAGTTTACGTTTAGGCTTGTCCAGCGCCACAAATAATCTCCAAATAGCAGATGTCGCCCTCTGAGTTGTCTTCTTGCTGTTTTCGCTATGTTTTTAGCCATTATTTCAGCTAGTTTTAGCTCTAGTTCTTACTCTTGAAACAAGTGAAGTGTCTGCCATTTTAGTTTTTACAACAAAAACAACTCAAACTCGTCCCCAGGTCTTTTCACTTAACAGTGCATTAATTAACCTGCAGGAGGCTGCATTTTTGACATCATTTCCTCATTAAACACAAAATTCTTCCAAAGTTGGTCATCAGTAACTGGTTATGGTGAATTATGTGTGTGCTTTTAGCCAATCAGAATTGAGGAAATATTTTGAATGAATAATAAATATTTATGTAGTGATTAAGAATTAACAGGAAATAACACTAAGGATCAGAATCACTAATAGGAAACAGGGTGCCTTACAAAGGTCAAATCCTTTTGTACTTTATTTCTTCTTATTATAAGTTATTATTGTGATGAAGTAGAGGCTAACAACAGGATTTTAGCCATGCATAATCAGAAGTTTCAGTTACGTCTTCGGTCCCACCAACTGCACATTAGAAACAGGAAATTGAAGGAGCAAGTTTCCCATGCATGATTCCTTAATAGAAACGTGTATGTGTGACAAAGTCACTTAAGTTCATTTTAAGCTTATTTTATTTCCAAATTATTTTCAACTATACTCATTATCCTAATGATTATTAATTGGTTGTTTACCTAAATATCTTTATTTCCTTATGTACACACCTTATTGTGTTTACCACGTGTAGTTATATTATTCCCACACATTTCTTGTACCTAAATCCTGTCACAGGAAAAAATAACGGATTCCCCTTTTTGGATATTTTAGGGTATTTAAAGAATACCCACAAAAATCCCAAATTTGGAAGAGTGAGACAAGTCGCAATCTGGGAACTTAGTTGGGAATTCCCCGGTTGGGACTTGTCTCACTTTGCCAAATTTGGGATTTATATGGGTATTCTTTAAATACCCTAAAATATCCAAAAATGGGAATACGTTATTTTTTCCTGTGTGTTGTGTAGGAGTAGTAAACACCTAGTTCCCTTAGGTAAATCCTGTATTAGTGAGCAGTAAATTCACTCCCTAGCCTTATTTGGTTTTTAGTTATTTTCGATTTTCCTCCAAATTTATTATAAATTGGCAACCATTTGCTCAGTAAATTCAGTTGGTTCAGTTGGTTTACCTAAGTAGAGCAAGTCCTCAAGTCAAGCACATTTTCAAGTCTCCCACGGATGTTTAGTTATCAACAACATTTGGTATGTTACATTATTTTCCTATTTGTTTATTATTTTAGTCCTTTTAGCTTAGTTTATTAGCTTTCTATTTCCCTAGTTTGTAGCAATATTATTTTATAATTTAGCCTATTGTAGTTATTGCTTTATTTTTGTATTTTAGTTTCTCGTTCCCGTTTTTCCTGTTTGTTCAATAAACTCGTAAAACTTAACGGCTCAAATCTGTTGTTCTTGCGTCGACCGGTTTGGCCGTCTTACATATGCAAAATCCAACCCAAGTTCGTATTTGTTGACGTAAAATTGATGAACTAGAATGATTTTTCAGCTTACAATTTCTCTTGCTTCTCTTTTGGGCGATTCAAAGAGAAAGCGGAAAATACAGCTGTCAGCCAGCATTAATTTAAAACAATATTATAATATTTATGTGAGTTTTATTCGATCCTGTCATCGATGTAAAAGTGAGGCTCTTTTCTAGCCAGACAATAAAACATCAGAAAAACAAATCACTAAGGGACTGACAATTGGGTTAAAAGGTGATTTAAATGAGCGTCAACTGTACCTGTTTTGTTAAGATGTAAGATAATGTTCCTCCATTATCCACTATATTTCTACGAATTTCTTGCTTTTCTTTAAATGACAACAGTGAAGAGGCGAAATCAACACAAAATTGAACCCCGTGAAATATATGGGACATCTTTAAGGAGGAAACCGCTTGGTTCAAGCGTCTTCGTCACCGAACTCGCCTCAAATCAGTTTCATTTTGCAATGTGCAGCAATTTTCGAAAACCGCACGAAAACGTACTAGGCGTTTTCCTCGGCACTCGAAAACGATCTGGGAACAACCTAGAAAGTCACGGACGGTCTTCGGACGGTCCGGTCGGCTCAGATCATAATTCTCCAGAAATCTTTTAGCTTGGTGCATGGGGTTTTTTCTTAAACTTTATTTGTACGTTATTTGTACTGTAAGGTCTTCGGATGCCTTTTCTTTCATTTGCTCTAACTGCGCTTGATCTTTGAAGGTGACTTGCGTGACATCGGTCCTTGCACCACTGTCACTGTCCTGGTGTAGTATCGCAAATGATCCCCGGCCGAAAACAATCCCAGACCGAAAATGGTCTCCAAAGTTTGACCGGAAATGAATAGTTGAGAATTTGATTAAAGATCAAAGCAATTTCGCTTTGGTGATCATTTCGTTAATTCTCATAATCTTTTCTCTGGATGATGTGAGGACATTGTTAGGAGAAATTTTGTGCTGATCACTCTTGGGACCTAAAGTTCAAATAAGGTCACTTTTGATAGGCAAACTTACCTAAAGCTACGTAACCTACGTGTAGAGAAGAATTGTCAACCAAAATAAAGTAAATTACTTTTGAGGAAAAGCTTGTTTAATTTAGCAATTTTGATTAATTAAAGTCGCTCTTTTGTTAGATCCCACCGCCACGTAAGAATAATTTCCTCGATTAGAAAGTTTCCGCAGTAGTGTTTTGTTTCCAGATTAAAAATTGTATTGTTACTTCTCAAATAGCGTATGATACAAATTAGAAAAAAGTGGTTGGTGTAAGTCCTCTTTTACTTTTTTGAAAACCGTCGAAATTTGTCCTGTCAGTAGTGGTAAAAAGTGATTTGAGCCACTGGTGAACTACCGATTGCGTGAGCGAGAAAAACTTTCACTGGTGCATTACTCGCTATAGCTTCAAAATTGTAAAACTTGCCATCAGGAACTGCATTAATTTTGTTTCTCTCCATGCAGGTTTTACATTGAACACTGATTGTCAGCAAAGTCAGGAACGCAGTTTTAATTTGAGGCTCTTCTCTGCCAATAATCAAACTTTGTTAAATCAAGTTACTGAAGAATTTAATTTGGTTAAAACATTATAAAAGCCCGGGCTTTTTCATTACAAGACCATGTACAAATAATTGTTAAATTGAAATTTAATTGTTTTTGTTGAGTTGCGGAGGAAGAAACATCACTATCCATAGTAATTTCGGTCAAAAAATACGCAATCTGTTTGTGACAGTTGCTGCGTTATAAACATTTGTGCGAGAAAGATAAAAGAGAGAGAGAGAGCTTTACTAAAGGTAAGTCATCTCATTCGGTATTTGTGGGAACGGGCGGTAAAAGTATACTTAGTGGCTTTTGACCCAGTTTGTGTTCGTAAAATTCTTCAAATTCATTCTTGAATAAGTGCTTTTCTGCTAATCTGTTTAACGCCTTTAACAGTATAATTGAATGATTCAGTTTAGATTGCATATACCACTAGCTTTAAAATCCAAATCGGATGAAAAGGAGGTATCGGTTCATCGCTTACAAGAGCGCTCCCGTGGATCATGGTGGATGATAATGTTCAAACACGTAACGTTATGTTTTGTCCGAAAGAAGTTAACTATCATTCATACTAAAAGAAGCGACTGTCATCTTAATGTGCTGTATCATTTAAATTGCGTTCGTTACTGAGAACAGTAGATTAGTTTTTAACAAAGTATTTCAAGAAACTAACATAAAACAACATGCCTAACTTGTGCTCAGTTTGGTAAAGTCCGGATATGCCAAGTCTCCATTGTTAACACTCCAAGAGAGACGTGCAAACCTGGACATATCTCAATACTGTGCAACCGGCGAGAAAGTTAGCCAATCAGAACACAGGATTTCCTAACAGAACTTCTGAAAGGGTCCAGTTGACATCTTAAAAAATCTTCACTTTTACAGAGAAGATTCTTTCGTTTCTTAGGGTCCTTATTGACTCTCACGGGGTCAGGTTATCTCATTGCCATGATCTGAGTTTTACCCAAACGTCCAGGTTTGCACGCAGCTGCAAAAATTGCAAAATTTGCAAAAAATTAGAAAAAGGCGTTTAGAATGAGGATATATTGTTCTACTCGTTTGAGAGCAGCTAATAGGACTTTTTGAAAAACTTTCTCTTGCAACACTTTTCCTTTATTCCTTTAGTATATTTTCTTCTTTTGTTTGCTTCCACAACAGTTTTCAGGAACGCAGAAGCTGCTAAGTTTCATGGTTTTCAAACGTTGCTATGGCGTATAAAGGGGATTGACTAATGATGTTTCAACGAAAACGAAGTATTCTTCTCTAACGACTCTTGATCAAATATTCCGCAAAAAAACTCAATCTTTTCAAAAGTGAAAGTTTCAAAGTCACTGCACGCTTTTATTCCGTTTCATTTGTTTCTTTTTATGTTTCAGTTTTAACTGCTTTAAACAGAGTTAAATGATACAGTGCGAAATCGTGAAGCCTCCTGGATGATTTCTTTCTTTCCTATGGTGACAAAAATTCCTTAAAGTGAACAGAATCCTCTTCAGAAAATCAATTTCTAGTAATGTATAAGCTGTACAACGTTTGTATTACGGACCTTTTCTGGGGAAAAATGGGCAAAGGCCTTCAGTTCTGAACTGTAAAACCCGCCCCAACCAACAACCAAACTGTTCGGAAAAAAAAAGGATTTGATGAATAATTTGTTGTAAAACTTCTTGCTTTCCACTAGGGATAAAATCGTAAAATTGCTCATCCAGTGGATAACGCCGTTAGTTTCTCGAATAGTAAGTTTTGATCCTATAATTTTGGATAGACTTTGAGGAAATCGAACAGATGTAGATAAAAATATGCCAAGATCGTCCAACTAAAAAGCCTCCATGTTTAGTGGGACTATTTTCTGGTTTAAACCAACTGTTTTGAAAAGCTCGTTCCAAAAATAAAAATATGGATCAGTTTCTGGAATAGTTTTTGATTAATCCGGTAGATAGAGCTATCCAAATTCAAATTTGGTCGATTAACTTTTGAAAGTTAAAAATAAAAATATGACAGAACTCACAAATACATTTACCTTAATGTGACAGAACTCAAAGAACCTGTAAAAACAGAGTTTTATTCATCAGAGTAAACGAATCAAACAATAAATTTTAAATTAGCTAGAATAGTACAATGTGACTTCATCTGGATAGCTCCTCAAATATCTAGACATGTTTTTGTTAGTGTCGTATTTGTTCCTTTTTAATAATACAACTTTTTTAAACAACAATAGCGAAAGACGTTTCTTATTGACCTGTCTTCGTTTCAAAAGAGCATGCAGGCAACATGAACTTGTTTGTCGTAAACAGGATTCCATTTTAGTCACAGTGAGATATATGAACTAAAAAATGCGATCGGAGTTTTCTTAATCACTCATAAACGATACTGATTTTACTGCGCTGTTTAACAGAAACAGTTCATAGAACAATACAGATCAAATCACCTGTTTAAACATACGCTGACTAGTTTATTTTTGGTTTGTTTGTTCTACCATGGTTCTCTTTGTAGCAGAAGTTTACCATCGAATTTAAAGGGAAGTTTTTAAATTATGCTTTAGAGACTTTTTTGGCCTTCTAAGCAGCTAAAACTGTGCATTTTTCCCAGATTGCATGCAATTGAGGGAATTTATCAAAGCTTCTGTTTTATAAACAGATGATACTTTTTAAACAGAGATAGACAGAATGATTTAAGCAACAATTATTGCCTCATTTCCGACGCCTGTAAATAATGAATTAACACTGGCCCTTGCAGAAATCACTGATATACAAATCGATTGCCAAAAAAACGTGTTTGTATTATCAATGTTTGTGCACGATTAACATAATTTTTATTATCTCTTTATCTACTTTCTCTATTAATGTATAAAACATGACAGAGACCAAATCACCGTCCACTTTGATATAGAACTGGCAGCAAGGAATCGGCCGAGTTTGACAAAAATTTCATTAAGGTAAAATCCCTGTTATGTTAGCAGTCTAAAACCTAACCAGAATTCTTGAATGAGACATCAGATTTTCAAATCAGTAAGAAGTATAAAACTGGGGTGCCTCGAACCAACTCACACCATATAAAGGGAAAAGTTTTGCGGTCGTGTTTCTTTTCAATCTTTAAATACAACTCTATCTGGATCTATGTAATCTTCAAACTGATACACATTTCCTTCTTTTTGCAGAATCATCAAGATATGAAGATTGTCTTAATTTACATTGTATTCTCTCTACATGCTTGGTCTTCACAAGGTGGGGGCTGATGTATTTAAAGTAATTCTTTTTTACAGAAATACTTTAACCAGAGAGTCTGTTAACTGACTGTGACGGGGAAAGTCACTATGTTATATTTTGTTGTCGTCGTTGTTGTTGTTATTGGTTTTATCCTTTTTTACTAAACTGATTCACTAAAACCCCATCAACACCCATTTAGTTCCCAGGGCTGTGATAAACGGTACGGTGACAACTTTAGTGTGCCTAAGTTCGTTGTAGCTTTTCTCTCGCGTTTAGTTTGGTTAAAACACTAAGTCTTGATCTATAACAAAAAGTTTCCCTATTGATTCGTTTAAGTTTTGCTTCAAATAATCGGGTGTACATACCATTTCCTTTGATTAGTCGTGAGGGCCATAACAAACTACTATAGTTTAAAAATCTATCTGTGACTGTTTGTTAATTCTACTCGACTTAGAGCATCTAAAATTTGGAATAATTTAACGCATATTATTCCTGTATTGGTAACGTCGGAATTTATGAAATTATACTTGTTTTACATCTTTCACGTTTATGAAATCTTACCATAAGTAACCATACTAACTCACAATAGGGTTTCTACTTAATTTGGACTAATTTGAGAGTGAAATTGAAATGTTAGCGGATCAACATGTCAAATCTGTTCATTTTGTGTGCCCTAGCATCACCTGCCCACGGCAAACATTTGTGGACGTAAATGACATTTGATTGACTCGATGAAATGCCAAAGGAAATAAACGTTTCCCCGAGTAACATTTTAGATGATTCATTGAGATAAGGCAGGACTGCGATTTTAAAACAAAGCGAGTTTTTTTCTTTTTTTTCTCTCTTTTTTTGGCATGAAACCACAAAAATGATTTGAATGTTGCCATCTTTTAACACGGCTGCTAAACACAAGACAGTGAATCAATGCCAGAGCCCGCGAATAAAAGAAAAGCAAGTTGGATTTTAGCTTTTTAAGAACGCACTGTTCGTTCTCATTTTTTGTCGGCTGAAAGAACGTTTTGGGGGCTGACAAAAATCTTGTGACATTGTGCGAAGCTACCTCAGTTCGAGGACTAGTTGCAGAAGATTTTTCTGTAAATTGATAGTAACTCTGGCATGTAATACCAAAATCAAGAGAGGATAAAGGGGACAGAGAAGGCATCCCTATACACACCCTATACCATAGGTAATTCGTCTCGAGTTATTTTTAGAATCGGGATAAAGTTACCCCGCGCGCTGCGTGGATGTTTCGTGGAAGTTTCGCATGACTAAAGGCCGTGCAAAACATGTCGGGCGAAAGGCAATGAAAGCGTAAAGAGATCGAGAGCTTTTCTGAATATTGAAGCGAAATGAGCCGGCCCTCACCTGGGAAAAGGGAATCGCTAGACTCTTTGACAACCCGTGAAATCACTTTAACTCGAAGTTGTCGTAACCTCAGTGCTTTAATAAAATGAGAAATTTCGCTGGTCTATTGAAACCGGTCGTTTGTACAATAAAGCAAGTAGGGCGCCAAGTGCTATTTTTGTTGAATAATAAAAGACTAATAAGAGAATAAATATCAAACCAGAAATTGCTCTCTTCAATCTGTAAATTATCAATGATCCTGAGAGAATATTCAGTGTGTTAAGGATTTCCCTGCTGTACTGTTAGCTATATACAAGAGAGGAAGGGCGTTTCATTTTTAATTTCCATTTCGGTGACACCGCTTTAATAGAAATCTCTCTTTAGTCGTTTTAGTCGACAAAACGAATGGCAATATCGCTTCCCGCGTCTTCCGCTAATTTTTTCAGCGTCAATTCGTGAAGGACGCGTGGCTCTGAGTGTGGGTCATCCACGCGGAACACATTCGCGCTATGTGATTGGCTGTTGTCTAATCCCCCTTGGGATCTGTGGTCTTAAAAATAACTCGAGACGAATTACCTATGGAATAGGGTGTGTATGGGGGATGCCTTCTCTGTCCTCTTTATCCTCTCTTGACCAAAATATATTGACCGAGAGAGCCATAAAAATTACTATTTTGTCACAGGCCATGAGTTAGAGAGGATTTTTTTTTCAATTTTCTGAATCGATCAGTATTACCCTGGTTGCACCCTTTCACTTTAGTAGCGATGACCAAGTACGAAAACGGATCCACCGTCTGCGCGCAGTTCGGTTTTATTAATTCTTTCCTAAAAATTTTATCGTCTTATTTATTTATTTATTAAACTTGAAATTGTATTTTATCTGTTGTAAATTTAAATAAGTTTGGAAAATTGTCTTACCCTCGACCCACGACAAAAAACCCGCAATCCTTGATTTTAGACATATACTAGATTCTTTTTAGCCTGCGAAAACAGCCGTTTCCCCTCGCTCCTCGCCGCTGGAGACGTTTCGCTAGGAGGAACGTCTGCGACTCACGGACAGAAATTCGATACTGATGACGTAAATCAATGTTTACATAATAAATCGGCAGTCATTTTTCCAGATGCAAATTTGTTCAATTTTACGTTTCTCCTGTTCGATTTTGGTAAAGAATTGTGTTCATCTGTGAACGAGCTCCAGCAAAACTCAAATGCTTCTTCTACAGAAGAATATATACTACAAATATTGACTGTTTTGTTTTAGATTCCCCGCGTTTATATTTGACTTTTGTGGCCTTTTGTCTTTTGTCTGTTAACAACCCAGGTCAAAACAATTTCGCCACATGCAAACGAGAATGGACAAAAATTGGTTGCTATCAAGATAGGGATACACCTTCCCGACTACTCCCTGAGATGCTGTTGAACGACAGGGATAGATACAGTAAACAATAGCTACAACAATGTAACTATTCCGTCGTCCAATTTTCACTTCTGACCAGATTCCGGACAGATTTTTCGTCATCAGTATGAAATTTCTGTCGCTGAATCGCAGACGTTCCTCCTCGGGAAACGTTTCCAGCGACGAGGAGCGAGGAGAAACGGCTGTTTTCGCAGGCTAGATTCTTTTTAGAGATAAAGAATGAGGAAGAAAACAATGCTAAGCTTGAAAAGAGAGAGTGCTACTGTACAGAGCTGGAGCATAAAACAGCCTTGCTTGACTGAGTTCTCTAAAAGTAGTCTGTTTTGTTAACAACCCAGGTCAAAACAATTTCGCCACATGCAAACGAGAATGGACAAAAATTGGTTGCTATCAAGATAGAGATACACCTTCCCGACTACTCCCTGAGATGCTGTTGAACGACAGGGATAGAAACAGTAAATACCATGAGCAGGGTTATCTTCTGAACTGGCACAGGTGGAAAGAATCGATTCACAGGTAGGGTAAATTTTATCAAACGCATACAAAAGTATTGTTACGTTACATTGTATAACACAAGAAATCAATAACTCTATAAATGAAGGAAAACTAGATACCATCTGATTAGAATAGATCCAAGCTTCGCGTCATCAAGTTTAGGTCATAACTACAGCAGTAACATATACACATATGTATATTTCTATTTCTATTTATCTATCTTAATATTCTGTCCATCTATCCATCCTATCAAGCTACAGATTCGCCATTTTCATCAAAATCGCCACTCGCTAAGGCCGGAGCCCTTTTGCCATCTAATTTGAATATTCGCCAAAGCCATGGCAAATTTTCCGCCAGATTCTCTGATTTTGTCACATTCGCCATTTTCGCCAAAATTGTCACTTTACAAGGGGAGCCCCTTGATATCTCATTTGAACTCCCAAATGTACGCTAAATTTCCCATTTTCGTCACATTTTCATTTTTGTCAAATTTGACATTTTTGTCAAATGCGCCAGTATACAAGGCGCGGCTCTTAATATCTCCCTGGAATTTTCGCCAACCCTCTGGCAAATTTTTGCAAGATTTGCCATTTTCGCCGTTGAATGCATTTCTGGACATAAGTGTCTATTAAAGTTAGCGTTGGAAATTTCATTCTAAATATATTATTAAACAAGTTTGATTTACTCCCTTTAGCCTTGCCTGTCGCTGTGCCGAAAGAGCCCTGCAAAAAGGTTATAATTACTTTGGTCTGCAGTTTTACGGCGAGTGTTGGAGCGGACCGTTCGCCGAATTCAATTACAGTCGCGCCGGCGTGTCAGACAGATGTATCATGAATCTTAAAAAACCAACCGCCTGCGTACAAGCTCAAGATCAGGAATGTGTCGGGCAGCAGCTTACTAACTACATCTATAAGCTAACATCAAGTAAGAACCATCAGTCAGTGCCGGATCAAAATGTTTGATAGTCCATAGCCTGGAGATACAGCAAGGGATGTTCCTCACCCGGAACAGGGAACTTAGCTTAAACAAGGGTTAAGTTCCCTAATGTCCCTAGTGGCGAGGAGCGAGGTGACACGGCTGTATTCGCAGGCTGTGTATCCCAGGGCTCGCGGTTTCACATTCGCCGTATCTGGCCGCGGACCGCTCGCGCATAATAAGTGTCACCACATTAATTGTTAACCCGCCAAATTAACGTTTCCATCGTTAAAACACTTTAAAGTAAGGGGGTGTTTTACATGACACCTGCGCGAGCTCAATCTGGTTCCCTCTCGTGGCTCCGTATTTGTTTACATGATACCACCACAAAATGTCATGTCGGCGTGAGTTCACCCCGGTTATTGTACCAGAGCGAGAATTTCTGACTCCGGCACGGGTATCATGTAAACGCAAAATGACCACTCGAAATCCCGAGGAGGCATCCTAGCAGCTCGCGCGTATATATACAAAAATACTTACACTTGAAATATGCAGTCAGTATAAGGAAAAAAATCTAGGCCCGACTTGTTTGATCAGGGGCCGCATGGAAACGTTGGGTAATGATGACGTTACTATTGTTGACGCCCGCAAGTATGAAATGGTTAGGATGACGTAAAACAGAAAATGCCCAAAGGGACCACTTTGGTCTGTGGAGCAGGCGTTTTGAAAGTAATGGACCAAAAGACACTCTTTAAGTTAACCCCTTTGGGCATGCACGTGCTCAAAGGGATTAATTGCATAACAGAACCTCTACTAGCATCAGATTGTCGTTTATCATATTTCACTACTCGTTGGATGTTTTTTCGTGACGCATGTTAGAGTTGCTTTTGGATTGCCTTTTGCTCTTCGTTAGTCTTTCCCCCCATGATGGTTAAACCAAGTAAGACTAGTAAATGTCCCGGTTGTAAAGTTTAAAATCAGCATACGACTTTGGCCCTCCGGCAAACATTGCCCTGGCCCCGACTTGGTCGAGGACGACTCAGCACACTCCGAGACCGCGGCGGCTGCACCCCCGGACAATATGGATTCTAATGTCATTCTTATCGAGTCCTTTGCCGATGAAGTTATAAGGGGCGTATATATACAGTTTCAGAGTTTGCCAAACACGAGTTTATCATTCACAAATCTTTGATTCGCAACGATTTGCCAGACACAACTCTCTTTGGAGGAATATAAAGTCTCCGTCCACAAACAAGCAAGTCTCACTATACAAACGAGTGAATCAACTGCTAGCTTATCACTAGCAGAACGAAGGACGATCACCATTACGGAATTGAAATTCGCTATTAAAGTGATTAAATTCTGCGCTGACGTATCCCCTGCTCACAAATGTCCTTCTATAAAGTCTTTGTTTTAAGTGTTACCTTGCGTAAAAAGTGAAAAAGAAATAGCGAAAACTTAACACTTCTAATCAAACCTTTACTTGAGGTTTTTCTTGTGGCGGGGTCAACTGTAGTGTCAACTATTACTAACTTATCAACATGAAGAGTATTTTCATATAAACGTGAAATGAATTGACCCAGTCATGATGTAAACGCGTTACGAAATCAAGAAGTCATCCCGGTATGAAACTCACGCCGGTACAAGTTTTCTCACGTAAACCGCCCCCTATGTGTGGTCCAAACATTTCACATAAACATCCCAAAACAAGACCTCCAGTTAAGTATAATAAATTTCCTTTCCAGATCCAGGTCCTCAGAGCCCGGATGTTGACGGTGGTTACACCGATTGGTCTCAATGGAGTAAATGCAGCAAGTCATGTGGAATAGGGCGAAAGTCACGTGAGAGGACCTGCACCAATCCCAAACCACAAGGCAATGGAAAGTCATGTCGCCGACTTGGCTGGCCAGACGATTCAACGATGTGTTATCAGGAATGCAACAGTAAGACAGCCATTGCCTCGATACACAGTTTACCTAATTTTCCTCTAACCTTAGCTCAAATCAGGCTTTAAAGAATTATTAAACTACTTCGAACTGCGAAAAACCGTACATTAAAGGTTTCTTTGCCCGTAAACCATTGTTCAAAGTGGCGTAATGATCCATTTGTCCCCGAATAAAATAAACGGAAGTATCAGAAGAAAAACGCAAAAAAATGGCCACGACGCAAAGCAAATCCATGAGGATTAACGGAAAAAACGGGGACTATTCTTATTACTACCGGTTGCATTTAATTTCTTAGCTGGTTTGATATCACTGAGAATGAAGTTTCCTGGAAAAGGTTTTAATGATAGGATAACCCAAAAAAAGCAACAAAGCTTTAAAAATTAAAAGTTGTTTAGAGAAATAAATATGTGTGACGTCTATTTTAGCATCTTCAAGTCAAGGCTTTTAAAATCATGGCTGAGCGACATTTCTAGTGGTTTGAAATGCTTGGTTGAACAGCAATTTAAAACTGAACCTTAAAGGAAAAGCGTTTAAAGCAGCTTATTTATTTTATTCCTATTTTCCTTTAAGACTGTGATAGGGTGATGGATGTCGGCATCGACATCGACTCCTCAAGCAGCGTTCGGCGCAAGAATTACGAGAAAGTGAAAGCCTTCCTAATCCAGCTGGTTGACAAGATGCACATTTCGCATCGAATGACACACGTTGCTGTCATTCATTACAATCACAAAGCGTATCTGGACTGGGACTTTAAATCAGACCGCGCCCAGAACGCCGTCGCTCTCAAAAAAGCCATCGTGAATCTAAAGTACCAACCCGGAGGGACTAGGACGGACAAAGCGATGGATAAGTCCATGGAGGTGATGTTTAAAGTGGATCACGGTCAGAGACCTGATGTTCCTCATGTACTGTTTGTTCTAACAGATGGAAAGACTAGCTCGAGATCGAAACCTTACAAGAAAGTTCTCAAAGCTTACAAGGTAAACATGTATTCAAACCTTCACACACACTTTTCTTCAAATAGACGCTAACTGCAATAGTTTAATATGATAAATACAATTGCTTAAATTGAGAGTGAACTTAACTAATCCAAACAAATCCAAGTCGACAGAGACTCAGAGGCTTTGGGATGTTACCATTCGGCCAGACTGCACTTCGGCCCTTCAGTGACATGTTTGGTATTCTGTTGGTTTTTCCTTGAGATGTGCATTGTCTTAGAAGAAACCGAATCGAACTGATTCTTGGAAGAAAAACCTAGCTTTCAGTTTTTTTGTCACTTTTTCTAGCTTTTTCTTCCCATGAAGTACTGGCAAAACGATTGCGTGAGTTGTTAAACTAAAGCTTTGAGAAAAACTAAGATTTGACTTTTTTTAAACTTTTCTAGCTTTTTCTTCCCATGCAGTGTTTGCAAAACGATTGCGTGGGTTGTTCAAAGCACAGGCCACCCAGAATCTCGACTGAAAAGACGTAACCTCGGGACAATATAAATGATCTCTCGCTCGCGCATCATTCGAAATAAAGAGCTTCCTTGCAGTTGTTACAGCTCGAATTTTATTAACACAATGTATGAATATTCGATGGTTTTTAAACGATTCGAAATAATAATAGTAATAATAATAATAAATTTCTTTCCTTGTATTTGAGTTGCTTCTTATTACTGTTTATTCAATTCTGAAGTAAGCCATGCCACTGAGAGAGGAGTTGACAAGGGAGGGGAATAAGGGAGAGAAGAAAACTGACTTTTCCTCTTCCTTGACCCTTTTACGCATGCGCTTACCGGGTAGAAAAGAGAGTAACGAGTATCTTGATTTCTCACAAACAGGATAGAGGGGTGAAGGTCGTTGCCATAGGAGTCGGCCCGAGCGTGGATAACAAAGAACTGACTGAGATCGCCATGGGACAACCAGACAACGTCGTTCACGTACAACAATTTGACCAACTTGTGTCCAAGCTAGAAGAGATTGTTCAAAAATCCTGTGCATCGATGAAATCTAAAGTGGTACATTACTAAGAGTGAGTATTAAGTATTGTTTACGTACTCAAAAATATAGCACCAAAGTTCAATATTGCGAGCTATGCCACTCTGAAAGCCAAGAAATTAAAAGTACTCTTCTGGCGACTTCCCGCAGTTTGAAAGTCGT